TAACCTCCAACCTATATATACGTGCACACACATATTATATGAACACGCGTGTATTTTGATAAATGCTAGTGTTTATGGTGTAAGACATACTTAATAAGTAAAAGCACACACACATACACGCCCTCACGCACACGCACATGGAAAAATCTATACAATGTTTAGACCCTATAGGTTAAATTTGAAAAAAGAATTAAGTATTTTTCACAAGGCCATGCAAGCGACCGACCAATGAAACACAATCAGGTGTGTGAATGAAAGGCTACCCAAATGAATATATATACCTGTTGTAACGAGTCCACTACTCTCGTGTCGTATCCAAAATAAATAAAACGGTGAAATTGACATGACTTCGCAAACAATGCGAAATTCTTTCGTGCTTATTAAGAGAGTGTACGTTGATATGGTATTGTAATAGAACATGGACATGACTCCATAGCTTCACCGCTACGAGGCTAAACAATTTCCTAACCGGACATTTTTCACTACTGTTATTTGTTAAGGAATCGTTCACTGAGCTATTTTTAAATGGAAAATCATGGATTAATATCACATGTGAGTGAATTCGACTACGTCAAGTCCATGTGTGTAAGCAGGTATATATAATGTATGATGATTATATATTCCAAGCTTGAAGGGGTATATGTTTGTGGATACGTGAATACAACGAGATTTCACCTACTTTGATGTACTGACAATAAGGAAGTTTCCTCGCCTGTAACAACTTGCACTTGGACTCGCCATGAGGGGCGTGTTTGAGTACGTGTAGCATTTAGCTGGCATGATCGTTACTAAATTTTGCCGTGATTATAAGCGTTTCTACAGAACTTCGAGTTCCGGAACAACCGACAGGTAAGCAGTTTTACATTTAGTTCTAACTATTGTTAAACATATCAGGCGTAAGTTATCAGTAGTGGAAGCCGATATATATAAATATAACCAGAAAATAAAAAAAAAAACAAACAAACAAACAATGCAAAGTCATCAATTTAACATTACTCATATATACTGTCACCATTTCTTGTTTTCAGAGAAAAATACTAACATTTAACATTTTATCAAACTAAAAAGAAAAAAAAGAAAACTTTATAAATCCTCGTTGTGATAGTGTATACAAAGTATGAAATTACCATACGTTTCAAATTTTCTACATATCACTCAACCCATGGTGAAATGAATTGTTTTACGTCCTTGTGTGTGCACAGTCGGCATTCGCAATTGATTAAACACTTGCCGTGAATGAAACGAAGGGAAGCAACTCTGATAGATTTGGCCATTAGATACCCCGTAGTCTGCACACTTCCCTGTTACACTATCTATACATAACTTCATGTATAGACCTATGTGCATCTCAATACAACATAAGCTGTGGTGATGACGGAAAATTTCAAGTAAACAATTAAAAAAAATATACAGTTGAAGAGCATGGACAGATGTGCGACACAGGTGCACGTGATTGACGGTTGACGCAGTTACCATTGGTAGCTGGAGTTCGACCGGTTTTCTAATTTGTTTTCACCAGCCATTATATGAAATTAATCAATGTCAGATCGACCGCGTAAACATGAACTTTGATATAACTTATCAGCAGTATGTAACCAATGCCCAACTTGTCATAATATTCTAAAAAATACCGAACTTGTCACATCATCAAACCCTGTTTCCTTTCTTGAAAAAAAGTTGTGAGTTTCGGCATGTGGACAGTGTATCACCTGTTTAGCTTGCGTGGAGAAGGAGCAGATGCATGACTTAAATATATACAAAGTATTCTAAACATACAAAGTTCTTGTTATACACCCCCCCTCTCTCTCTCTCTCTCTTTCTCTCTCTCGAAACTTGTTTATAATTGTTTGATATTATATCCTACTGCCACCATGTAATATAATGTGTGTGTATCAGTATGTTTGGAAAGGGCTTTATATATAAGTTGTAAAACTTGTGCCCAATCCTATTGCTACTAATGTTCAATAAAATATGTTAAAATCAAAACCCTTTCTCCGGTATTCAAACTAACCTGGTGTTTCCGAGGGCTTAAAAAATAATTTTGATTATAATAAACTTTTTACGTTTTTAAAATCAAAATATCCTATCCTAAATAGGTTGTCTTCAGAGATACCGAGATTCGAACCGTTTGCTTGGTAAACTTTTCGATTTTGTTATCTGAAAAATGTCTCGGCCATGTTCTCCACTAATAAAGTTCACCATGACTATGGCTATAATATGTATCTACAGAAGAATGGCGTCCTTTTCCGCGTGAAACATTACATTGAAATGTCATTATGCTATGAATAAAATTGATGATCACATTGATTTCTACAAACTAGATTTCCAAAAGATTCTTAGATCTATTTATTCTGCTAAGCTTAATTTTTTATTATATGGTCGGTAAATTATGTACGTGCCCCCCCCCCCCCCTCTTTAACTTTCATTTGCAACTTTAGAAGTTCAGTATGTGAAACTAACCACGCGTAGCTGTATTTTTGATAGAAGAGTCAGAGGCATTACTAGTAAAATGTTATTATAATAAAATTAGTATTTTACTAGAGAAATATAGAATCATACGGGAGGGTAAACGTATGAATAGGAAAAAAATGAAATAAACCTCAAGAGGCACGTGAGAAAATTACCAAATCACAAAAGAAACAGTCGTTGTCCGTCAAATCGATAAATCGGTAACAGATTATGTAACAGAACAAAATACGTTATTGGCTGGAGTAATTCGCAGACAGAGACAATTTGTTGAAACCTCAGATAGAAGGCATCGCACGAATACGTTGTCACGGGTCAGTTATGAATCGAGATAAGGGGTCCCATATACTTTCGTTTTTGTCAGTTTTTTTATTTCGTACATTATTTGTTCCTAGGTATATATGAAAGAGAACTTCCCTTTCTCTGCTATACGACAATTTTATAATGAGTTAAGTACGAATTTGATAGTCATCAAAGTGTCAAAGTACATATGACAATAGACACTGAAACGTCGCATAAAATGTTCACTAGTTTTTTTAATATGAAAGATGTAACTCTCTTTCCAGATATATTGGGTATTTGTCCTATTCTCCCTTTCATAACGTGAAGCTTTATCATTTTAACACTTTGAAGTATCAAATACTTGGGAAGCAAGGCTTGACATTGAAAAACAAAACAAAACCCATCCCGGCATTGTTAAAGTATGTTTGATTTGTTCAATTAGAGGTTTTGATACAGATTAATCACTGGGCAGAAATATTTCATCATGGCTATAAAAATATGAGTTGATCTCGGTGCTTATCGGTGGACTGAAAGATGAGAATATTTCCCAATACATTTATGAATAGTAGCCTACGTAATGATGACCATACGATAGTGTGTCGTGGAGGAGCGGGATTTCAAGTCTATTTTTAATTAGATTGAATAATGACGCAACCCGCAATAAATATAACATCACGTGCAAGACAAATGTGTGGATCCAGGGAATGTGACTTTGAACTCAGTACCTCTAATATTCTGAGACGTCACGGGAAAAGTAAATAGATAAATGAAATATCAAATAAAAACAACCCCGTCTAGACCCTCATTCTCCTACCTCGGGCGAAAATACTTTTCCGTGTCGAGACATTTCGGTTGATGACGTAATTCATAGCATGTGTCATAAAATTATGATGATAATGAGAAAGAAAGAATATATAATGATGGAGATGGTGTTAATATACCCGGACAAGTGACAATGTATATTGATCATACCTGTAAATAACAGCGGCGTGCTGTAAAAGATAGACTATATATACCCTAATCTGTTCTCTTACTCGTGTATATATATACTGTAACATGTACAAAAGACACACACGTGAATAGCATCTATAATGCAAAGTTAGAATTTGATTAGTATATCTAAATAATGAACTATTAATGTTATACAGCTGTTCTAGTACTTCTAGGACTCGTCAGTAATGCTGATGACCTATATCGCCAAGACCTCGAAAGCTATAGTGGAAAATTAAAGTTGGTTGAAAGAAATGTCAGACCTCCAATGAGGAAGAACATTTACCCCAAATTTCAATTAATTTCATTTTTGATAATGCTTCACCATTAAAAGGAACGTTACGTATAATTGTCTGGATTAAATGCAGTGAGGAATGGCTTTAAGGCATTGTATTGCACATCCCTGCCTTTACGAAAAGCAATGAATGAAGAATTTTCCTGTAATGCATTCATTACATAGTGACTCTCGATGTGTTGAGAAAGAGCTACACGGTTGTATAAGATTCTGGATGAATTAACAGCATCGCTGGTGTTTATCAATCAAAATAACGTATCGTTATACTTCTTCCTATATATAACTAATCAAAATAAAGGTTAGGCAATGTGGCTATATAATCATCGACTATACATTTGTGTCTTAGTCCATGATATATTGCACGTCCATGGTTAAGATTTGCTCCTATGGGATCAGTTGGAAGCAATTACTAGTTGATTTTTAGATTAGAAATGCATGGATTTCTGTTTTTATTGCACTGTAGATAGTTTATATCTATAGACGTATAATGAAATGTAATTCCCAAAACAAATTGAAACACGTGCGGGTGTATAATAGATATTCACGTGCACAACTTCCGCATATCGATTATGGAGCAAATATAGATTAGTGGGTCATGTACATAGGACGGCTTTGTATGAAGATTTACCTGTCTGTCTCAGCATATATAGGGAATGTCCCCTGAGGACACGTATATACAAACATACCGAACTAAATTCGTGAAAACCAATCTACAGCAATAAATATTTTAAACACATATAGTCCACATTTTACTCAATGCCAGTTCACAATAGTATATCACGTGACCGGTGGTTTTCGCAAGGCAATACACAGTAGTGTGTTTATTAACAGACTAAGACGAAAATTATAAGATGCAATTTTGATGTGTTCTTCATTGGGATTTATTTTTATAATTTAGACGCGTGTGCTGATGAAATATTACACGTGCTAGCTTAAATTATCAGTGCAGATGTGGATATCGTTTTGAATGGGTACAACAGCGGACGGTCGCCGATTTCAATTTACTCGTTCCATTTCTGTTGTTAGTGAACATGACTCGGATTTCGAAGACCTGCCGGATTTTCAAATTGATGGACTTGACGGACCCCCAACAGCAAGCAACACACTCGAGGGCACCGGACAAGGTAAACATGATAAAAGAAACCCCAGTTCGGACTATAAGCTGAAATGTTTACAAACTTTTGTATGTTAAAGAGAGACAACTCTGTCGAGTAAAATGCGACAGTAGATCACAACGTGACACATAACAGGATATGAAAAATTGCAAAAATATTCAGAATCAATATATTGATGTTCTCCTTATGTTGAAATAGAGTAATATAAGTATGTGTACAATATATGTCATATTATATTGGGTGTACAGTTTGTATAAACTGTATACTGTGTTTGTAACTGTTATTTAATGTTACAAGGTAATTGTATCCTGTTATCTTCGTGGAAGTGTTTGCCCCACCCAACCCCCACCCCCCAAATAAAGAGAAATATATGGCTTAAATTAAGATGTTCATATAATTCAAGATTTAGAAAATTAAAAAAGGACGGAAAAAACAAAAAAGGTCATGTGCAAGCATCAGTCTGTCAGTCTGTCGTCATTGCACAAGTAGAGAGATAGAGCCCATTAGAGAGGTCATGCAGATTGTCACTCACAATAGATATTGCTGTCTTAAACAGTTATGCTCTCAAAACAGCAAGGTAAATTGCAGCAAGAAAGATGATTAGATGTCAACTCCCAAACTGATGATCCACAATCTAAAAAATAAATGTTTTCTTAATATTATCTTCTCTCTCCTCAGCAACAATTTATCATCAAATTAATACTTGATTCCGAAACTAATATAAACCCACACTTTCATTCAAGTGTTGATACTACATTATGTTAGTTAAAATGGAATAAAATAGAAAAAATAGACATATCTTTCCAAAATTATGTTATTATATTACTCATGCATATTTCCCAAAATTTGCAATTAAAATGTCATCCAAAAATTTGCTTAGTTTTGCCATATTGATAGAGAAAGTCCTGGTGTATCTATACCTGGAGAGTGGTAGAGGATGTATATCATACAATATATTTGGGTCAGAATTTGAAATCTTGGTTTTGACCCAGATTCTACAACTGAGGGTACACAAAGATTATAATATTAATAGGCAGTTTCTCATTCATTTAGTTTGAGTACATAAACCGATTGATAAGTCATTTCTGCACATTTTATAATCTGGTGAAAATGTTTACCAAAAATCGCCAAAACATTTCTAAATTTTTTTTGTTGTAAGCATATAATGTTATATACATAGAGAGATAATAGTGATGATATAAGTATGCTGGGGGCCTCTATGTTATAGTGTGGTTGGTTAGAGCACTGACCTATGTAACCTCACCTTAAGACCTCACCTGAAGATGTGAGGTGCATGTTGTGATGCACACACACTATCCATGTCAGTATGTGTTTCTCAGGACAACAGGTGTTGATTAACTCAGCAAAAACAACAACAACCAAAAATTCTAATCGTTTTTGTAACTCTAATATGTTTAAATGATGGTGAAAAAAAAAATCCACCTAGTTGGCTAGAAAAAGTGACTGAAAGCAGATTATGTGATCAGGTTTCTTTCGTCGTTTCAATACGGTATAATACTGCATATTTTTTTTGAAAGCTGGTGTCAAACAGTTATTGTAGAGGTGTTCAGCTATACGTCGTTCGTTTTATTGTTTTTATAAGACATTATCATGATACATGTAACAGTCATTTGTTATTTTTATATAGGAAAGTCTTCAGGTAAGCTTGTAGAAAAGATAGTGTACTGTAGTGAAAATACTAGCCTTGCTGTCTTTTAACATTTATTAAAAAGTACTAATGAACTAATTTTTCACATCTATTTAACTATTTTACTGTTATGTTGGAAATCTGTGTAAAATTTCATACCATCTTCATCCCAAGATATATATAATATTATATTTCAGAAATTCACTTCTGAATGATGCTAATAAAATGTTAGACTAATTTTCTCATAGAACCATATAATTTTTTAAAAATGAGTCTCACTTTTCACTTGTCAGCATATACTCTGGGAAGACTGGCCAGTGGATATTAACATACAGGTTAAAACTGACTAGGACAATATATATAAGGACAATTAGGATCAGATTATCATTGTTAAGAGTTAGCTTCCATGACTTCAGAAGTAAGACTTAAAAGCAGTTGCTAAATAAGTCTCCCATTGGCCTGCTTTCTGATCCAAATTCAGATATACATCTCTGCTTGGTCAGTGATATGATATCCTTTGATACAAATCTTGTGTGGACCCTTTCAGAATGTTAGTTTGGTATGTTCCTGAAGGATTCCAAGGTGTGTGATTTCTTCAGTGGGCTGTAACAGAACAGGCCTCAGGTGAATCACATGGAGGCAATGTTGGGTTCTATTGATTAACTCTCTTGTAATCAATAAAACTTCATAAATATTAGGGGGCCATGACAGCTTACTTCCTACAGCATCGGACATTTCAGGTAGAGATCCAAGATGTATGGTTCAGTCCCTACCCTGGACAGGTTTGCTTTTTGTCTAGAAGCAATGTTCACCATTCATCCTATGATGTTGTGGTAAATGTGTCCTTGGCCCTAACACTTTACCCCAGTTGAGTTGGATAGCAGGTGGTGGGCCTTCTGCATGCTGTTCAGGGAGGTAGTCATCGGCAACCTCAAGAAGACCACCTGAAATTGATAAAACTAGCAAACAAGTTTAAACAAACCATTTGATATTGTGATATAGAGACCACTATAATGGAAACCTTGATTGTATTTGGTATACATGATACCAGAAAAAAATTTTTCAATTAAAATGAGGATTCGCTGATTCAGTTATCAGGCATTTATTTATTTTGAAAGCATTTTAAACCCATATTAGGTGGGCTCGTTTGTTGGAGGACTGAAAGGCCAAATTAGAAGCGGAAATAAAACCTGTTAGATAAATTAGGTGTTGATTATACGTTATGCATGAGATGAAACACTTTTGCTTTTGCTCGATTCGTAGGCGTGGAATCAATTGATAGCTATGATATTGGGCGATGTGTAAAAATTATTTCTTCATCAGGTCAAGGTTGCTTTATTGATATATGTGTTTTAATTTGGAAAAAGATGAATTCCATTTAGCACGAGTATTTTTACTGAATTTTACCTGGGTAACTGATGGCATCAGAGGGTAACAGCTATTTAAAGAGATGCTTTGAAAGAGAGAATCAGGGAAATTTTTGTAACACACATCTGTTGAAGAATATTCTGATAAAAGAGTATAGGTCAGTTGGAGTAGTTTGATATTATTGCCATTTATGAATTTTTTATTTGTGTAGAAATCCCAGTTGGTGTTTGTGAATGACAATATTGTTGCATGACTGTACCCTGACTGAGACGATAAAAAAGTTATCATTATTAATGTCAGTAATGCTAGTTTGACCCTTATACAGATGTCAAATGGCATGTCATTTTACCACTACTAATACATGTATTTAATTGTCATACTGACACCATTAATCTACGGGGACAAAGGGTTTTGTTTTTGAGGAAAAATAGGATGTGAATTTTTTTCTTCCTCTCATTTAATGAATGAAAATTATGATTGAAACAAACAGAATTTTCAAGACCATCTGCCCCTTTTACTTAAACAATACTAAATTTAAAAGAAAAAAAAAACATACAAATACATGCAACAATGATATATCTTGTTGTATTTTAAGATTTGTGTAGCCTGTTTATAGTAGAGCAAATATCTTTTTGTCTGGCCTCGCTTTATAGAAGTCCAAAGTTGAATTACCAACATCAAAATTTCACAAGGAAGTACTTTAAAACTTGTGATAAGAAAAATCTGACTCTACACACCAAAGTCCATCATAGTACAATAGGTTTACTTTTATAGACTTGTAAATATAAGCAACAGTATATGATTGGCTGGGGAGATTTTCTCTTTTGCTCGATCAGGTGAGTGTCAGGACTTGTAAGCTAGAGGTTCTGGGTTCAAATCCTAGCAGAGGTATCGGAATAAATAATCACCTCTGTTATCTTGATTTTCTGTGTAGGCACTTGAGAATTGTACTTCTGTACACCCCCTGAAAACTTGCGGACAAGTTCCTTACTGGGTAGTTTGTAACCCAGGTAAATACCAGCCACAATGATACTGCTCAGCTAGAGAAATCTTTTTAGGTCAATTGCTTGTTGGTAAGACTAAGCTAGAGGCCTAGGGTTTGAATCCTAGAGGAGGGATTGTCAAAAATGAGGAGATGCATTTTTTTTTTATCAAATATATACGTTATACGAAGTCAACTAAATGATTACCAGTGTAATTCTAAACTATTTGAAATATCGTTTTTCTGGTTTAATTTCATTTACATTACAAATACACGAGGTTGACTCATTTTGTATTTTAAAGCTTTGAAATATTTTTTCTGATTTGGACATAAGTATGAGGATTTCCATAGCGAGTAATATTTTTAAGTGCATCTGTCCTGTCATTTTAATGAAAATCAGGAAATTTCAATACTGATATAAATAAATTTTATCTAAGAAGTAAATAAAGGATGTTGGGAATTTCCAGGAAACTGACTGGATCCCGGACCTGAATATTCCCATCAGTACAATATATATGTGTCATAATGATGCAGTTGTCTATCCTGTGCATGTATAGTGTCAATATTTTACCACAGACTATTTAAATACATTATTGTATATACACCTTAAAGTCATTGATGATACTGTCTGTAATGGTTAATTGATATGATGGAACTTGGTATGGATCCGTACCATACATAACCTGATAATGGCACCTTCTCCAATAGGAAAATCTTCACCTTTTTTATGGGATTGAGTGCGGATATTAAGTGTGCTTTGTTGAAGCCAGCAAAATGATTGCTGAATTCCTGAATCTACCTACATTTTGTCTTTTTTCTTCCTTTTACATATACCTGATCACTTTGGTAATGAGTATGACAAAATATACAATTCTATTAATCCACAATTTTAGGGACAGGGATATGATATTGGTTATCTATCTCGTGTGATGTTGTGTCCAGCTCCAAATCAATATCATATCTGAAGAAGCTGTCCACAGATTTTTCTTTATCTACCCCTATAATATTATATATGTATGTACATCTTAACATTTAGAGATAGTCATCGGGTCAAGGTTACAGGGTCAAAGAACACATTTGACTACAGCTGCCAATTCATTAAACAATGATACTTACGGTATATGCAGAAGTGTTCATTTTGTCCAAATTTCTCAAAATTTAATTTTTTTGCTGTACTTAAATTTAAATGCATTAACTTTGTTCATTTGGAAAAAAAAATTTTGTGAAAGTATTCTTCAGAGCTAATGTTAACACACAGTGCTCTTATTCTGTTGAATGGATGGTATGTACATTTCATAACAATGTGCAATGTATATACATTGTACAACATTTCTGTAGGGTTAAACCACAAGCTGAAGTATGCCTGTTAAAATTTGCATCAAGCCATTGTATGACATCATTACAAAAACTGTAACTGTATGTTGAATTAGTATGTGTACACTGATTGTATCAATTTGAAAATAATTACATGTACATTTTTTTTAATGGAGGGGAGGGGCTTTAATACGATTTCATAAGAATTTTTTTTATACACTGTCAGCAACCTTATTTTTACTAGTTATGCCCCTAAAGATAAATATAGATCCAACGTTTAATTGTAGCATTTACAGTATATATAAGGTTCTGTTGCACCACTGGAACCAACTGTATATCCTTGTTGTTATATAATGTGTAGTAGAAAAGGCTTTATTAGGTCACCTGAGCCGAAGGCTAATGGTGACCTATTGCTATCATGATTTGTCTGTCGTCGTGCGTCGTTAACTTTTCACATATTCGACTTCTTCTCAAGAACCACTGAATGGATTTTGACCAATCTTGGCACAAAGCATCCCCATGGGAAGCCGCTTCAAGTTTGCGAAGAAAAAGGGCATGGCTTCAATAGGAGCCCCAGGAGGGGGGAAAAGGGGGTAAAATTAGGTAAATCTTTAAAAATCTTCTTCTCATGAACCAGCAGTCAGATTAAGTTCATATTTGATATTTAGGGTCCTTATGGCAAGGTCTACAAAGTTTGCGAATGAAAAAAATCAGGTCTAAAACGGCCCCACTAGGGGGCGCTCAAAACGGTCAAAAATTCAACTTTGACCGATTTCAACCAGATTTGGTAGAAAGCATCCCTTAGTGAAGGACATATGAAATTATGTTGAAAAAAGTGATTATATCCCCTTTGGGTTGGTTTTAAATGATTAGAATGTAATAAATTTACATCAGTCATACCCTATTTATCAGATGATAAGCCCATTCGTATCTATTGATGCTCAGTAGTGTAAACAATAAGGACTAATTTCAATGTTATGTAAATAAGCCCAACCCCTGTATTTAATTGAGAGGTGTGGTACCTTAATTCAATAATATTTCCAAAGTGTTATAACAATTTTTTTAATGACAGTAACGACTAAAATTGGTGCCAACAGTGCTTGAAACATATTCACAAAACCACTACATCGTAACAGATATGATTAAATAGAAATGTATGATATGGTAAAATAATGAGTACCAGGTACCATTAATTTTTATAAATCAGAGAGGACCAGCTGGTGAAAATGGTGGGGGATTGGGCTGGGCTAAAAGGTTGAGGGGGAGGGGGGGATGGGGGATTGGCGGGGGGGGGGTTGGCTGAAAGACAAAACAGCAGAAGATGTCAAGATCTATGATCTCAACTCTTCCTGAAACAAATATTAATCCACCTTGTGAGTAGGAAATGAACCACACACCTTGGATCTTTTACTGACTTTTATATTATTCAGATGTCGAAACAACTTAAGTTCTATGGTCCCTTTCCTTTAGCAGAAGTAAAGTCTGGATCTCCATGTTGTGAAAATGACATCGAAAATCAACAAAAGGTTAAGATTTCATTTTCAGTTGTGTAATTTATAATTTATTTTACCTGATTGTTTTTCAAAGCTTTCTGTTTTTACTTCAGTCTTAGGGAAAGACAGTTGCCAAAAAAAATAAAACAAGGAAAAGGAGATAAGAAAATATATTAGTTCAAAATATATACATATGATATCACAAGTGTTGCCTTGGATCAATTTTCATTTCTGTGACATTCTACCTTATACAGCAGACTGTACGTGTGTAAATTGTGATCAGGGAGATGTCACTGAAAGGTCGGACAATGAAATTGGTTCTCTTTGTTGAAGTGATTAAGCCAGTTTTTACTTATAACACTGGTATATATATTCTTTAACATGTGGATCAGATTATGGTATACAATTGATATACAGAACTGTGAAGTAGCATATATTAACCTGAAATATATGTGTATGTATTGTAAAATCTTATATTCTGTGGTGTCTAAATTTTGTGTATTTAGGAAAAAAAATTCATTGATAAATATAACTCAGTAAATGTATTTAGACTTCTTTCAACATTTTATGAACATATTAATTTGTGGATTAAAAGTACCAACAGAATCAATTTAAATGGTTCCCATGAAAATCAATGTAATCAAGTGAAATAGATGCTGTAGACTTTGTAATATTTACTAAGAAAAGTTAAGTAGGGAGATATTTCTAATTCTTTTTATCAGTCCTTCAAGCAGAGCTTCATGGATGCAGTTAATGTGTATGAGAAAAGAGTATTGTGTGACATACTTTGACGTGACATAAATATCAGAATGTTGGTCAATCTTAGTGTAGGTAATCTCTCATTATTACGTATTATAAAGCATGTATATACATTGTACGTGTGAATAATGTTTCTGGAACAGCTGAACATTGCTCCTAATTCAATGTTTATAGAGTCTTGCACAAATTCGTTTGAAGGTCTAATGATATATAGCATTGTCAGATACTGTGTATACAGGCTGGCACTTAACCATTACTATAATGGTCAGTTACTTTGGTTTGTGTTTAACTTGTGGTGGAAATGTAAATAAAGACCTGTACATTGAGATGAATATATTCAAATCAGCTTGACCAACTGACCTGAGAAATGTAAAATATTGGTTTCATTGGAATGTATATTTATGCAAGTGGTATACATACATGCATGGTATGTGAGAAACATTTTTCTATAGTTTGACCTTAAAATTCACCACTGAGTGAGCACTTAGAAAGGGCATCTTTATCTTATGTTTATACACGTATGTGACCATTCACTGACCACAATCAAGAAATCTGACCTCCATATCAGTATATATATCACCACAAACACAGCACTATATTAACACTGATGTCTCCAGTACATACATTTTCCCATATTTCATCTAAATTTCATCTTCATTCTCATCAATTTAACAAAAGATCGTTTTAGTGTGATAATCAACTTTAAAGAAAAGGCTTCTTTATATATGTAACTTGAGTTTTAATTTACTGAAAATTCTGTTTCTTTCGATGGTTCAGATTTACACTATTTCACCAAACATAAGTCTAATTATCATGAAGTAAGAAGAAGCTGCCTTTTCCTGTGTTAAACTGCTAGCTGCCTTATAGATGTTGTATATACTAAGATATCTTGTCTGATTAAAACCTTCACAAAAATTGTTCACTTGTAACATGTGACAGTACATGCCACTCAAATAAATCTAGTTATTACTTTTACATATATATTATGTATGTTCCATTTGTATTTTGTTGAGAAAAGAAATATAAATGAATATTATATTACAGTGGAACCTGATAGAGGCCACTCAACAGAACAGGTGGCCTTTAGAGACAGGTGGTCTCTATAGAAAGGTTCATTTGTTATGAATTGTTTTATATTGGACCTTAAAAAAGTGACCTTTCGGGCATGTTTGATTGTACTGATCTTTTGTTTTGTGTTCCAGGGGGGTTAGACTTCAATGCTATCCATGCCCCACCACAGGGCTTCACCACCATCAGAAAAAACTGCTGGATACCAAACACTCGCATCTTCATTAAAATCATCTCTGCAGATCGACACAATGCCCACATCAAAATATTCAATCCGAACTTGTGAGTTGATATAAGCATTAAGTCAGATCAGAAAAGTTTGTGATCTTTTTGGTTTGTGTAAAAAAAAAATAGAAATATCAACATCAAAAATATATAATGATATGGAAATACTGTTTTATTATAACATCAGAATTGATGTACTCTTCTCAATTTGATTTTTAATATATACTTGAGATGAAATCTGTTATGCTTATTTATTGTCCTATTTATAGATACACCGTTCAGGTTATTCATGGCGACTTTCAATGGACAGTTCGGAGGAGATTCAAGCACTTCGATCATTTACATAGCAGTCTTAGAAACTTTCGTATGCAACGCCGGATTCCATTACCAACCAAATCGTGAGTCATGTTCAATATTCTGCATTCAAGATTTGATCCCCAAAGGTGTGATGTTACGTGCACAAGCATTGCATTTTTCCACTATCTAAGACTTTCTATATTGAAGTTGGAATCTACCAATTAGTTATGAGGAGATAGACATGAAAATTTATCTTGAAAATTGTCTAAATTTTTAGGAGCTTCTACCTGAATTAAGTATTGATGGTATTGCTATTATTAGTTTTGATTGGCAGTGCAGTGGAGTTTCCTCGAGACTTACCAATAGGGTTGGTATCATACCTAGTATCAAGTCCTGTTAAGAAAAACTTAATATAGTGTTATATACCTTCAGACATCACAAAATACAGTTAATAGAGTGGACAGTTGGGGTTCGATTCTCAGTTCATATAACAACTTTCCTGGAGACTGACCAATAGGGTTGGTATTATATGTAGTATCAACTCCTGTTAAGAAAAACTTATATAGCTTCAGACGTCACAAAATACAGTTAATGGAGTGGACAGTTAGGGTTCGATTCTCAGTGAACATTCATGTAACAGTAAAATATTATATAGCTTCAGATAGTTAATGTCCCAGTTTTAGACTTCAATTTGCTGCATCTTCATTAAAATTCAGTTGATGAAATTAATGGATGATAATGGTGCATTGGAGAATTTTTAATATCTTTAAAAAAAAAAAGAAAAAGAAAGAAAAAAGTGTGGTATTGTATGCTTGTATGCTTAAATGTGTTGTCAACAACAGCTCACCAAGCTTTTTGATCTCCTTTCAAGTGTCAACCAACAGAAAATTTGTGTAAACCAAAGTTTATCATTAATTTCATTTTACGTACAATTTAATATACAAATTAAAAACTGTCTGCACAAAGTTAGATATCAAAATACAAAAAGTGTACCAGACAAATTTTTCGTTAAATGTTTTAAAATTGGACTTGAATGCATGGACGACATGATCATGCAGAAAGAATAGTGGTGTGTATCATGTACATCACACAAAAAGCTTCAGACAAACTTACACATCTAGTTACATAAGAATTGTGTATCATGTACATCACACAAAAAGTTTCAGACAAACTTACACATCTAGTTACATAAGAATTGTGTATCATGTACATCACACAAAAAGTTTCAGACAAACTTACACATCTAGTTACATAAGAATTTACATTGAATTTTATTATGGCTAGCCTGATAACCTTTTCTGTTTGGCGTCTGGATTTTCTGAGCTTGTAGCTTATATATTTACAAGCCATTAAATCAGGCACAACTTTGAGCTCTACCGGTGAACGATATGAATTGATGATAATGATATGATACTTGTACATATACTTTCCACTGATGTACATGTACTTAACGACCTGTATGTAAATTAATGTATATATTTTTGTAACTGATGTAGGTACTTATGTATGATAAACATCAGAGAGCCTTTCAAGTACTTTTCAATGTGCTATTTATTGATCTTAAATCCAGGATATAAGAATTAACCAATCAAAATTCAGCAGTAACTAGTTAAAATTTGGGTTTTAATTCATAAGAAGTATAAACGGTCATTTTCTTCATTTTTTTTGGAAGATTGTGAAACAGTAAATTTTGAGTTATTCCTAGAAAATATTTATATTTTTGTGTCAGTAGTATATCAACATTCAGGAAGTTCTACTTCAACCATATGAAATCTCTAGAGCTTAAATCTTAGAGGGGAAACCATTATCATTTATAAATACATTATCATTTCAAAGCAACATCTGTCCAGTCTGTGTATCTATATCCAGCAGTCTGTGTTAAGTTGTTCTCCTATTCATTGCTTAAGTTTATACAGTATTAAAAAAATTGACAATCTCACCAACAATATATTTTGGGTTTGAAAATAAAATTTGCACACCTAGAAAAGGAATAGTGAAAATTTCAATACTGAAAATAAAAAATCGGAAGATTTTATTACTGAAATTAAAAAGTAGAAAATAACAAAACATCAAAAAATAATGTTAAAACTTCAGAACTCTAATGCCAGATCAGGATAAAGACGATGAAATTATCAAAACCTGCAACACTGGAATTATAAAGTGAATATTTCTGTACAAGAGTGTTTATTTTGCAGCTGTAATTGTGTTTGTCAAATGATACATGACAGGTTCATCATGGGTAATTAGTCACTATAATTTAACTGTGTTAAACATCTAACGTGCTGGCTGAGTGGAAAATAAAGCAGGAAGTGAACATTTCATCCGGATAGAGTCTCTTCCTGTGTGTCACCCGAGACATTTAAAAATTAGGATTAACAATTTATAGCTCTAGATATGCCTGATGATGATTTACGCCAGTAAACATGAGTATAAATCTTGTTGAAATGTCTTTATTGAATTATTGGTTAATTATTTCTTCTATTGCTGAATTTGAATATTTTACATATCATGAGAAATAAACTCTGGTGTAACAGTATGTTGTCATGACAAACTGTATCTTACAATCAAATTACCGGGGTAGGTACCATATCCTCAGTAAAATGAATAACTCTTCAATTCATTTTTATGGAATAAAACTCTCGAAAGACTTTTGTATGGGAATTACCACAGTGGACACACGTACATCTCGTGAACAGGGGTATTGTCTGCAAATAAGCCCCCTCCCCTTTTTTGACAAGTTTTTTTTTAACTATGTGGGGAAGGGGGCTTATTTGCAGTAAAATATGGTAGTTACCATTTCAGAGACTTGGAAAAAGGAACACTTCTTCATTGATTTTTATAAATATCATATAAAAAAATTTGTTTCAGGTTTCTACTATAAATAGTGTTTGTAATTGCTTTGAAAATCATTATTAATTATCATGGTTTCTTAAAGGGTAAAGGATTATTCACACAATTATGAATGAAAGTGGAAATTTCGTAATACACACATATACAAGAATACACTTAAAAGTATTGTGTAACCATAAAGTGTAAGCTAATGTATCAGAACCAGTAGCACAATTGATCAATTTCCTGTGTGATAATTACAGGAGCAAGTTATGAAAGTGAAAAAGGAAATTAAAAACTTATAACACAATATGTATGTATTATGATGATATATGCTCATGTAAAGTTTTTGTTTTTTCAAGGATCGAACAAGATTGTGAGAAAAGGATATCTTTTTATCAAACAAACCTGATAGAAAATATAACAGCAGCAATTTTTTCAGTGTTCAGTTTTTTGTAGTTTTTCTTGATGAAAAATGGATGTATCTTTAGCTGAGGTAATGAAATAGTCTTTTTTATTTTTTTTTAAATTCATTTTCAAAATATGTTGGTTTTTTTTCTGGTATTTTTTTCCGTCGAAAGCAGCAAAATTAGAACCCCTTGATATAAAATGTTTACAGTACATTATTTTTGCAGAAAAATGAACCTTGTTTCCTTTAAAGTTATAGGTGAAACCACAAAATTTTGAACCATCAAAAAGAATCCTGAACAAAAATACTCTGATTAATTTAAATGTGAAAGTCAATTAAAGTCTGCTATTTGGTGATTTATAAGTAGAACTCTCCTATGTTGGAGGATATGATAGAGTGTTTTTGGGATTGTGTAACTTAAGAAGAGCTGAAGAAGCTTGCTACTGAAGTTGTAGAAATTAATAATAATGATTGCTATGAATGGATGTTTCTTAATCCTTAAGGCCATCATATTATATTTTCAAACTAGAGGTATTCCTGAAGCCAATTTGTGATGTAGGCCCAAACTACATTATGGTGTTTGTCCCGACAATAAAAGCTTTTGAAATCCATTTAACTGTTTAATACTTTTCAGAAATCTTGATATTAAAATTTCTGTGCACATTTTCAGTCGATATGAGAAAAGGAAAAGTGTGCAAGGAAGACGAAACCGTATACCAAGATTCCCAAAGAAGCCTGAGGTTATTGTTCGTGATATTGACAAAAGAAGGGTAAATTATTCTAATTTTTGTTTATTTAAATGGCTAAATATAGAATTGATAAAAGTAAGGGCCTATAATTCTTTTTTTATTACTGTGTTGAGAGTCAATAATATTTACTGATTAGAATTTAATACTTGTCTTTATTTTTTTCAAGATCTCTTTTGGCCAATTGTATTTATTAAATATGTTTTCAAAGTATAATTGAATGCATATTTTATATGTAAAATGAAATTATTTAACTTAAAATGCCTTTCAATAATCTTCTTAAGAAGCAATGTTAATATGATAACAAGATGTTCTAAAGTACAGTAAATTTCCTTTACGCCATCAGTAGGAAATTTCCTTTATGCCGTCAGTTTTAACAGATGGAGAGTGTAATATGTTGTACAAACAGACCAATTAGGTCTGTAAAATGAACTACAGTGTCTTTTATAACCATCATAGTTTCTTGCAGAAAGTTTTAAAATCATAAACGGTACATGAAAAATTTGGCCGAGAGTGCCTTAATGATATAAAATGATGGCAATTGTGCAGAGTGTAGGTTTGATTATACTGTTTATATCTACATTACAGAGACACCTTGAAGAATATCTTCAAAACTTGGTCGACATACCTACGTATCGGGATCATTTTGAAACGGTAAGTTTAAAAAAAAAAAAAACTAGTTGTAAATGCATTGGTTTAGTGACATGTTCAAAAAAATGGAATGTAATGTTTGTAATACATCAAGTGGTTGTCTTTTACAAAAAAATTACAATTATCACCAACTTAATGCTCAACTTCCATCAGAATTATAATAAAAGTAATCTCAAGGATGGAAACAAAATTTTATTACTATAACACTAGGTTTAATAGTTACATATATATAACTTTGAAAGCAGATTGTCAAGTTTAGAAGATATCTCTTTATATGTACAAACAAGCTATTAAAGATCAATGATTCACTTAAATGTGTATGCAGCTTGAAGTTCAGTTATGGTATCAGAGATTTTTTTGAAGAGAAATTATGTGTCTCCTGTGATAAAAGACTATTGAGAAGAACTCTTGAGAGTTAAGGTATGATATTGATGTAAAATTATTTTTTTTTAGATGAAATTTCTGGAAGTAAGCCAGCTGTCATTTGTTAAGAAGCTAGGGAAGAAGTACAAAGAGGGAACCATTATGAAGTGTTCTGGGGGACGGCATATTAGTATCGGATGTTGTGGCTGTCTCAAGAAGTTTCACTTGGCGGGGCGCTGGAACAAACGGTGAGAATATTTTAATTCTTGATAGACTTCATATTTCAAATGTTGACAGATAGCATATTTGATTCAGTAAGCATAGATATATCTGTAAAAGCCCACCGCTTCATCTTGTAGACGTTTCCCATGTTCCTTTACAAGTATCCCTAGATCTGCTCCTCATTTTGCCAAACTGTCATGCATATTTTAAATGTAATTAAATTTAATTTTTGAAAACTGCAGACTGCAGGGAATGAATCTAATATGTGAACTACATGAGGTTTGTCAGAAGAGACATTAATAGCCAGGAGAATCCTCCACTGTAGGTCACTGGTTTACGAAAAACTTGAAGCAAAAAAGCTGTATTTTTCTCCATCTCCATGTTGTTCATGAAAGAGAGCATGGTCTCATTATAAATTTCCTTTTCAGTCAGCAACTATAACAGTATTTTCACATCCACAGGAGTTTTAGCTTTGCTTTCAATGTATACCTCGGTATTTTCATCAGTTTGGTGTAAGTGTTGAGTCTCCATACAAGTTTTACTTCAGATCTTAGGTATGTTCATTCCCAAGATGCTTCAATAAAACCTCTTATAAAGGAGTTTTGTTTTGATTTATGTGAAAAAGTACAACAGCTTTCCATGGGATAATTTTAGACTGAATGATATCCATTTCGGAATTAATTTCAATTGGTGTCTGGGGGTCATGATTGCCTTGGTCACCATGGCAATTGATGATGCTGCCTCACTTCCAATTGTGGTATTGATTGGCATTCAGGTGTCAGGACATGATTCTTTATGAGAAAGGAAGGGTAGAGGAGAAGCGCAATTTCATCAAGATTCAGACGAGAAAAAAATGTCCAGAACTAATTTGACTCAACCAGTAATTGAATATTTGGGAGGGTATAAAAAACAAAAGCTTTGATGTCGGTGACTGGGCATATAAGGAACCCAAAATGGCTTATTAATGGCTTATATTACTGACCATATATATATAAGTATGTATAGACCTGTTGATACCTGAAAACCATGTTTACTAGTAATTACTATTTATCGTAACATAGTTAAATTATATATACTGTTTGGTTTGTGATTTTTGACGCGTTCTTTATTTCCAAGGACGAAATAATCCTCGAAAACATTGGTACTATTCCCTCGAAAATAAAAGGAATAAAGAAGAAAAACTAATTCATTTCATGGCTTCTGTGGAAAAACATCCTTTTTCAAGTAATTGGTAAACAGTGGAGCTGTTGAAAATTCTATTTTTATAGAAACAAGTATCCAACAAAATTTGGAAGGATCTTCAGGTTTTCCAGAAAGATTTTCCCCAAGAAATCCAGTAATGCTTTAAGATTGGAAAAAGTGATTTAGAAATTTCTTGTAGACAACCATTATGTAACCTAACTAAGGTGTGGGAAGTACTAAATCAACCTGCAGGTATAAGAACGCTCACAGCTACGTAAAATGACTGACAAACACGTAACAGTGAATTGCATGTTCCTTTAGGAGTAGTAAATCTATCCAAAGGAGTGTGTAAGCTGCATGAATAAAACAACAGTGGAGTGGGTTTAGTCTCACAAGCACATGTCATAAAACATCAGGATATAGTACAGTGTTTATTGAGACCAGCGGACATAAGACAATTTCCTATGAAAACACTTAGTGAAGTGTTGTCAATTGTCCAGCAACCAGTACCACATTTATGCTCAAATTGTCTTCTATATGCAGGATGTCTGTTCATCTGCCAAGATTGAAAGACATTTTTGGAAGTCTTTAGGTTGTATTCAGCTATCATATAAGTGATTTTTTGAGTATACAACCACTACTAATCCAGTTGTCCCACTATGCACTGACCAGTAATGCAGTTGTCCCACTATCCAGTCACTAGTAATGCAGTTGTCACCCTATCCAGTCACCAGTAATGCAGTTGTCCTATTATCCAGCCACCAGTAATGCAGTTGTCCCACTATCCAGTCACCAGTAATGCAGTTGTCACCCTATCCAGTCACCAGTAATGCAGTTGTCCCACTATCCAGTCACCAGTAATGCAGTTGTCACCCTATCCAGTCACCAGTAATACAGTTGTCCCACTATCCAGTCACCAGTAATGCAGTTGTCCCACTATCCAGTCACCAGTAATGCAGTTGTCCCACTATCCAGTCACCAGTAATGCAGTTGTCCCACTATCCAGTCACCAGTAATGTAGTTGTCACCCTATCCAGTCACCAGTAATACAGTTGTCCCATTATCCAGTCACCAGTAATGCAGTTGTCCCACTATCCAGTCACCAGCAATACAGTTGTCCTTCTATCAGTCACCAGTAATGCTGATGTCCTACCATTCCGTCACCATTAACCCAGTTGTTCCACTGTCCAGCCAACACTTATCATATTGTTCCATTGTTCTGTCACCATTAATCCACTTGTTCCACTATCTATCTGACTCTGATCTGGTTGTGGACATCCATGTTCCTCTCAGCGCTATGATGCGCATGTTACAGTTGCCTTACTAGGTTTTAATATTAGTAGAATGATCTCTGAAGTGTGCTAGATTGATGTGACAATTGGAAGGCAAATACTGCCAATTTATTCAATGAAAGTGTTGAATTGCTTTATAACACGTCTCTTGATTTTTATACAAGTTAGATACTATCAGAGTGTTTGTATAAAAGAGTGAAGTGTATATTTCATCATGTACACATACTTAATGACATTTAGCGGCTGTTCCACAAAAATGTATCCGTGGCCTGACACAAGCTGTATGGTCTAGTATTGGATGTACAATAAGAGGCCAGCTATAGCATTCTCCATCATCTTGTATTAATAGCCATATAGGACAGAGTAAAATGTTTTAAGACCTTAGCCTCTGGGCCATAATATGTCTTGTAAGAAATCAATAGTCAGCCAAAAATGGTATGAAGGTCACACCAAAACAGTGATCAAGATATGTTGAGGCAATAAGTTTAGGGTAACTTGATCCTTAAATACATATGCTGAACAGTTCTATGAATAAATATGCAGAGGTAGAAAACAATCTCCTTGTATTGTTGACAAAGATAGAGTGATTTGATAATTCTGGGTTATATAATTACTGTTAGCTGTTAAATAAGACTGAAATTTTCGTGCTTATGTGATGGAGAAAGCTAGCACTCAGATGGTCAGATGTTGGGTTGATAATTAAATCTGGTTCATAGCCATATGTGTATACTGATGAATCTTGGGATTTAGTATAGTCACAAGCCAAGGAATTGGTGATCAGATAATTTTTGAAAATCAATGATATTCTTAGTTTTATGACAAGAAAATCATGTTAGGAAAGTCTTAACAAGGTGTAAAAGTACTATAATACACATGGACATACCCTGGTCAATATCTCAGCAAAGTAATTAGACTCATTTGAACTGATAGACCTTACAGAATGGTGTTAAAAGTATTGTCAACTTAATAAAGTAGATTTTAGGATTTTTTGTGTGTGTGTGTGTGTGTGTGTGTGCGTGGGGGGTGGGGGGAGTGGTGGGGAGAGATTTTTTTGGAAATAAAAACCTTGAAATGTTCTATATTTTGTTAATATGGTATCTTTTACAACTTCAGATTGTTATATGGAGTTCAGTTTATTTCAGTTGGTTACAGAAAATATTGTGTCCAAGACTCATCATTCATCCAGGCCTGGTGCCTTCATTGGTTAAACTGTGGTATAAGTATAAGGAGACATTACACACAGATTAGTTGTAGAATTTACATCATGTGAAAAGGATTTATAAATATGATAACAGATGCTGCATCAATCAAGAATTACTGATTTATTAAAAAAAATTGTCAATTTTTAAGAATTTTAATGAAATTTTTAAGGGCCTGGGGTAACATGCAGTCATTTGACCCCAAGTACTCGAGAATCGTTAACATTTTCATATTAATTTATATCCAATTTTATCAGGAAAATTATGAATATTTGTTTCTTCTTAATGGTTCAAGAATTGTGTCAAGTTCTAATTCCTTCCTGCAGTTCGTTTGATTGAAATGGAAACAAGGAAGTAGGGTTAAAAATTCCATTCTCTCGACTTAATGGTGACAAATGGAATTGAAATAGTGAATTTGAATTTGATTGGTGTCCAAAAAATACAGAGATCGGCAGAAATTCTGATGAACAGTGACATCAGTTTTAACATTGTCAGTTTTTTCAATTGAATGGATTTCATTTTCTTATTCTTTCTGAAATGTTCCAGATTAAGTGTTAATGGATTGTGAATGATTGAAAAATGTATTCTTGTGTCAGCTTTCAACAGAAAATCGAACACTATACCATCCAAAGCCAATATTGGTGTTCAAAATGCCATTTTAGCATGCAATTGTTCAAACTTGAAAACAACTATCTTGAAGGTTTACTCAATAAAAAATCCTACTGTTTGAAGTTTGTGAATTCATGAATACATATCAGATTTGATAAAAAATTTTATGAGCAACACAGAATATAAACATGATAAAAGCTGATGGAAATGACAAGTTTTCTGTAGCTAAAAGAAAAAAGGAGAAGAAGAAAGATATCTAAAATTGATTTTTAGCTGACGTTGCCTGTGGGACCAAGTGAGGTTATGGTGTACCATGGAGTCTGTTTATCTGTCCCTCCTTCTGTGTGATCTTTTTTTTAAATTTGCCATTAGTCATGAATGACTGAGTGGAATTTTAGCAAATTTGTTAAAATTGAAGCTTCCTTGGGGAAAGAGGATACAATTTTGTATCAGTGGTGTGTCTGACCCCACTGGGACAAGAGGAGTGGGGCCCAAATGTGGAATTTCTTCTTTAAATTATCTTTCTATTAAAGGATTGGTCCGAAAAATCCTATGGAACTCTATTTTGTATAAATGATGAGTCTTAGACCCTCATGGCCAATAAGGAGAATAAAACAAATTCTTTAAAAAAAACTTCTTCCTCTTAAGGAATGTCAGGAGACTGTCACAGTTCGATTGGAAGCATCCTACTGTGAAAGGGAATCAATTTTAGATTAAGGATGGGTCTTGCAAGGCCATTAGCAGGAGGGTTGGGGCTCAATAAGAGAAATAGAGCAAATTCTTTGAAATCCTTCTTCAATAGAAATGCCACAATCCTGTTCCAATTTGGTCTGAAACATCCTTGGGTGAACAAGAATATATTTGGTATATGTGATGGGTTTAGTTTGAATGAAGCAATTTCAGCCAGACCAAAGTCATGCTAGCAATTTATAGATCCTTTGGGTCACTTGTTGAAATCCACAATGAAATGCAGACATCAATTAACATACCGACAATGAAATGCAAACATTAATTAACATACTGGAGTACTGGAAAAAGATGAATAATTTCAGAGCGTCTGAAGTCTCTTGATTTTCCAATACATCATATTTTGAATGTTTCCATTTTCTACAATGCACAATAACAATATTTTCTTGCAATGTTGACATGTTTTAATGGTCTATCTTATTTCTCCTCTTTCTCCTCCCCCCCACCCCCTCCCTCTAATACACACACACAAAAAGAAAAAAAAATGCAATATTATAGCATGTATAGTATGTACGTCACAACAACTATTGTGTGCAATATCAGACTTCAAAAGTAAATCTGAAAGGAGCATTTCCTCCAAGATAAACTCAAAGTGTATAAGATACGTTTATAGCTTTATATTTTTATATAGATTAGGAGAGATATCCTCACTGTTACAAGTGAATGTAAACCTGGGTGGTGAATTGTGTATAGTGATGTGATCTTCACATTCTAGGCTGGGTCTTGGTGTACTGCAACAGCTGCTTCATGGTGAATTGGGGATCATGTATAAGTAATAGAATGAGAATGCAGTATATATATATATGTACTGTCTGAGGTCTCAAAGCGTTAAGTGTATATACATGGCAGGTCGAGGAAGGCTTTAAAAAAAATTGAGTGGTAAATGCTGTTAAGATATTACACTAAATAAGAAATTTGATTGTTTCAAAGCAAAGGATGTGTGTTTTAGCTCAATTTTGATACTTTCTGGATCTTAATGATTAACACTAGATATGCAAGTTTGTAATTACAGTGGCAGTAAGACTGCTCAGCCCATCAATATCAAAATTAAAGATGCATGACCTGTCATTGACCAAACTTAAGGATGCTTACCCTGTCTGTTTTTGAATTAAGGCTGCTTGCTACATTAGTTAAAATAGTGAATGGTGCTTGCCCATCAATATAAATTTATGGATATCTGAACATTAGCTTCATCTGTCTCAATATTAAGGATGCATACACTGTCATTATCAAAACTTAGCATCTTTTGTGGAAGGATTAAAGTTTAAAGACCAGATAATCACTTTCACCTCCTTTTTAGGGATGGCATCCTCACACTTAATTGGATTGAAATCTATGAAACATGTAGAAAGTGATTGATAATTGGTTTCAAAAATCAAATAATAGATATTGCATCTTTTGTTAACACTTTACTGGAATGGTAAGAATAACTTCAAAAAAAATTCAAAGCTGTTCTGTTATTATGTTTTGCTTGGGGGGCAAAACATATCTTCAATTGTGCTTATTTCAAGACAATGAAATAAAATTTAAAATTTAAAAAACACAGGCTTATTTTTGAATAAAGACTGAATTCAGCCTTTTTACTTTCTTCAGATGGCTTATTGTGAAGGATGGATTTGTTGCTTACATCCGACCACGAGACGGACGTATTTGTGATGTCATGTTGATGGATCGTGACTTCTGTGTCAACATCGGCATGGGAACAACTGGGGCACATCATGGGCTTCTCATCACAAATTTAAATAGGTAAGCAAACCTTCAACTTAATATTAACAATGACATTTGTTGAAATTTAAAACATAATAACTTTTTTAGGACAAAGTTGTCTTACATTTGTCAAAATTCATTTTATTTTTAGAAATCTGTTAGCCAAGTGTTGGACTAGAAGGAAGGCGGAGGAATGGAAGAGGAATATTGAGGAGGCTGCAAAGACAACTGGGAAAGACTACACCCAGGAAAACCGATTCCAGTCTTTTGCCCCTATCAGGGATCCATCTTATGCTAAATGGTATATTATTTTTCTTAGTGAAGGGAAATAGTTTATTTTTTGTGGTCCTTTCATTATGTAGTGATGTCTAACAATTGTAGGCCTATTATTACAGCTTCTGAAGAAAACCAAATACAAACTGTTCCGAAATTTTATTTGTCAGTTTTGTCCAATAACCTTATTTGGCAATATATATCATAATTCAATTGATGACAAAAATGAATGAAATTGAACAAGATTGATTTCCTGTACATTGCAATAACGAAATCTGCTCAATGCGCAGTCAGGCACACCGGTGAATGTAGGTTGCTTCTTCGAGATGAGAATATTAATGACTGACTTGTAGAGGATTATGGGATCAGTAAACTGTCTGATATTTCACATCATTCATTGACAAAAGGTCGCTGCCAACGTCAAAAGTTTGCTGCCAAGTCTTTAACACACCAAGTGCAAAATACTAAATCATATTTCTATACTAATTTGTATTTATTTTCCGGAAATTTTAATATATAACGGTCGTTGTATGATGTATGTGGACAGTACAGGCCGTTTTACAGTAAAGAACAAATACCTGATAGATATTGTAGGCATGACATCTCTATAAGTGGTAAGATGATTTCAATCATTTCAATGATAAAACCAGCATCAAAAGTGATGGGCTTAATATCTGGTCTTTATGTATATCTGTAGGTTATAGTGAGGCTAGCTGAGATATTGATGGAAGAAAGTCTGTCTCTACTCTGGAAAATTCAGATGCAGTTAAATGTTTACATTGAATTGTGGTAATAAATTTTAACAGTCCATTTTCCATTCAAGAATTTTTTCCATAACAAAACATGCTTGCATTAAAGATTATTCCACACTTAAGTTTTATATTTATAAGGCAAATATTTTCAGTCAGAAGCTGTCTGATCAAGATGTATATCAGTCTTTGTGTGTATTACAAGTCATCTCCTCTGCAGTTTATACGTGCACAATTGTTACTTAATTTCACACACACGTGAGTGCTTGTGTAGTAAAATCGTGATCAGAGGTTAGAAAAAGTCATAATAATGTAGAGTTTACATTAAATAGAATAGATGTGAAATATGATAATGCTATTTCACCGTAACTTGTACGCAGGATCATCGGGAGGGACCCTATATAGCTAACATAAAGGACAGGCCTCACACACTCCTTAGAAAGTATAAATTCTCGCAAGGTTATACATTTATCAAGTTACTCACCACATTGATTGTCAAAAGACATATATATGTTCCAATTTATCCTAGAAACCTGGTAGTAATAAGTAAGTAAAGAAGGGATTTCTTATCCAAACAGACATCAACAATCATGTAGATAAACAATTCACCCATTGTAAAGAAAAAGAGACATGAATTTTTACAGATATAACATTGATGTGAGTGAATTTAAATTTAATTCAAAATAATGAAATATAACACGGTGATGTTTGTAAATACTATTTTCTTCACTGTCTACAAATCTTATGTATGTTACAGATAGGTGCATGTCTATATTAAGAGGCAAGATCTTAATACTTAATATATGATTTGTAAAGAAAAATAACCTTGTAACTGTTTGAAGGTCAAATCATTAATCATATTTGTTATAAATTAGAAATAATTAAATTAGGTAATACTATGAGTGTTGTATCGATAGCTATTTTCACTTACAACCGTTTGTGAAAAGTCTGAGTGGTCTTGTACAATGGTATTGTTACATATCTCAGGCTCAACTACATCTCATGATAGTTTGACCTCTTGGCATATCTCTGTCAATTCAGGACCAAATTTTAATCTTTTAATTCTTTTGAACACATTATTTAATATTCAAAGAAAATGTCATGGTGTATTATTATTGTAGTATCTGGAAAACAAAGTGATTGTTTAAAAATGTGTAGCCTTTTAGTAGTTCCAGAACATGCAATTTTGTTGAATACTTTGTTTTTCTTTGTTATGTGCATGGAATCAATCTATGTGACATTACATTTAATCTTCAGTTAACCATGGTTTACCTGTATGTAGTTAACCATTGTTGACCTGTATTTAACCTTTGATTGATGACAGTTGGCCAGTAGTTAACGTGATTAACCATTGTTAGCCAACAGTTCCCTTTTGTCAACGAAGATGATCTTTGCTTGACCCTGGTTGACCTTATGTATTCTTTGCTTGAAATTGGTTGACCTGTATCAGACCTTTGGTGGACCTTCATTGAAAAAAGTCTCTGATTGGTTGACCTTGGTTAGCTTGTATTTAACCTTTGACATTGATTAACCTGTATTTAACCATTAATTGACCCTGGTTGACCTTATGTATTCTTTGCTAGACCTTGGTTGAGCTGTATCAGACCTTTGGTGGACCTTCATTTTAAAAAATGTCTTTGATTGAGTGACTTCGGTTGTCTTGTATTTAACCTTTATTGACCCCAATTCACCTGTTATAGGTTTGTGGATGGTGATTCCTATTTCTCAGCTGTGGGGGATGCTCTAGAAAGTGCCAAAGAAGAAATCTACATCACAGATTGGTGGTAAGTACCTGGTAGTTTGTCCTTATACCTTCCTCTGTATTTATCTTACTTGGTATAATGCCTACATGTTTTTCTGCCTGGAGAGTTTTCCAGTGATAGAAGTGGGGGAGGGGGGATGTTGTATATGTATGTACAGTGCTACAACACCAATATCCTGATCCATTAGTTTAGTTGTTTGATATAAGTTGTTTGTTTCCTTGGCTTATAAACTTGTGAACAGCCAGGGTCATTTTTTGGTGAGGTCTCCATGTAATAGTTGGTGGTTACTTCACTGAACAACATATGGGAGGTCCATCACAGGCCATCTAGACCAATTTGAGTAAGGTGTTTTGTCCAAGTATACAGCCATGTAACTTTTAAAAGTATATACAAAGCCTGTATGTTAAAAGACAAGGTTATTTGAAGGTCAAATTATCCGTCTTTGGCTTATTTATCAATGTCGGTTTGTAAGAGAAACAGTTGTTTTCCATTTACTTGAATGTTGTTAGCTGTAGAGATATTTCTGAAAGCTTTGTCAATCAGCATTGGTGATAAACTTGTGGTACAATACAAAACAGAATTGTTTACTTTTTCGACCACAGCTGAGTCATTGAACAGCTGGTTACATGTTTTAAAATCTATAGGAGGCTGTGAAGGGTTATATTTATCTTTGTATAATAACTCTACCTAGTCACTCACCTTTAATCGAACAACCTTGAGTTATCCCTTTCTTTTTTTACACAATTTATCACTTAATCTTTTTTGTTTTATATCAATGTAGTAAAAGAATCGCTGGACAAAAAATCCAGCTCAATCAATAATTTGTTGTTATTTTTCACTTGAACACAAAGATTTCCTTTTTGTACCTTACCAGTATTAAAAATAATAGATTATCTGATCTCATACATTCCCCAGAATTTTCTTGTCTCGTTTGAACTGTATGGTATCTTTGACTTAATATTTGATGCTAAGTAACACACCAGTTTAAATGATGTCATATTCAGTTGTCTTCATAAAGCATAACCACAAAGGGAGGTAATCTTATCTTACAGAAAATTTGCATTGCCTTGATTGGGACTTTGTTACAGAATATCAGCTCACAAAATGAAATATCTCTATCTCCCACAAATTCATGTAAAATATTCTGTTATTATGTTATACAAATTCAAGAGTAACGAAAGCTTTCAAATGGAGAAGAGAAATTAATGGAGAGAAATATTTTTTACCAAAGGGCAATAAGAAATATGGCTAGTGAGAGGATAGAAGGACAAATCATAGGAAAATCTTTTTTTACTAGAGGGGGAAAAACAGGGAAAAATAGTTTTTAAAAAATGTGGGAATCAGGATAAAAAAGATAGGAAAAATATTATTTTAAGTTATGAGCTGATCAGGACATATATTTTCCAGAGAAGTTGTGAAGAAGTGACCAGATCAGTATAAGAGTTAGTTTTTATGAACATGTAAATCTGCTACAAAAAACTCTGTCCAATTATCTCTAGACAAGTTTATATGAAGCAGCTAGAGTATAAAGCTAAGGGATCAACACACAATTTATAATCACAGTCTGACATTTTTATGTGTCAGTTGTGAGGAAAAATGTTAAAAATCATTTCTGACTCGGTAAAAAACCAGCTATGACCTTTGTTTATAGATTTTGAAAAAAAAAAAGAAAATGTTTTATTGATAAAAGATTATTAAGAATGTTCCTGGTTATTATTAAAAAAAGATAAGAACTTAATTTTATATGTATGTTCTGATAGATTTCCTACCTATTTATTAAACTTCAGATCCTGATGTTGATGTTTTTATAGATAAAAGTGTAGTGGAATTGAACATAACTACAACATTACATACTGCTTTATTGTATTGATTTCAGAGCTGTTGAGCGGAAAACAGTAATCGCTCCATCAATCTGTTGCCTTCACTGTGTTAAATATTAATGACAAATACTTTTATATAGATCTTTTATTTTTATGAAAAAATCAATCATCCATCAATGTTTCATTATATATTATACACTGAGATGAATTGTCCTGTATTTAGACCCTCAGTTATCTTTAGTTTTATTATTAAGAAGGCTGCTTGGTTTTTTAAATATTGCAATTTTGTATCGTCATATTTCGGTTTGTCAGGATAAAAATAATTGTATTCATACACATATATATATATTTAGGGTCTCAAAATCATATTGATGGAATGGGAAAAACCATTACATAATAACCATGTTTATACTAATAGTTTAATTCTTTGTAAACTTACTTTCTCTTTCTGTATAGTTACATTGAGACAAACCACCTCTGGCATATCATTTAAAAGAATTATTTTAATTTTTTCAGCATATCATGATTGTAATTCATCAAAACAATAAATGTGCACACTACCACAGAATTGATGACAAAATACACAATAAACATACGACAGATATATGATACACCATTTTCTCAGACTTAAGTTCGCTTTTACTTGTACATTTTACCGGACTCCATAGCTTGATATTTGCATCGTAAATATATCAAAGAAAAGGACATCATGGCTGTAGACCTGTTCACAGTACTAGAAATTGTTCGGAAGAGTTACCAAAGTTCACTCCTATCTGGTGTGTTTGATGAGGCATAAACAGTGACAGGTCAAGGCCTTCAGGCTACACACTCCAGGTAATATACACTACAGTCTAATATCAGTGAATGAAAACAAACTGAATAATGGTGTGACTGTAGAAGTCGGTGACTATGAAGGTGAATCATGATATTTAAAGTTAAAGTCCGTTATAAACATTTATACATCATGTACCAGCTGTCAGGAAAAAAGGAGTCTCTTATGTTTAAGTTTTTTTCCACAATTAATGCGTCATTTCAACTATTCGAAGAAACAACATAGGGGAAAACATCCACAAAAAACTTATCAAAATTATATTAAGAAAAAAAAACACAGGTAAAGACAGAAAATAAATATAAAAAACAAAAGCAAAAAACAAACATACACAATTCAAACAAAAAAATTAATACGAGGCAATATTTACTACAGTAAATTGCTGAAATCCTGGATTCTCACAAGTATTTCTGTTAGGGAATTGAAAAAAAAAAAAAAATACTGATGGATAACTTTATAGGGGCAATAATTTGATGCCAGGGGAAGTAACTCTCACTTACAAAAAAAACAGAACACTTTTGACTTCCTTTTTTGCTATTAGTATAAATTTAAAGAAGAACTTTAAGTGATGCACTGGTACTGCCCTTAACTCAGTATCTACTCAGAATATGAACTACCAGCTTGTTTACTATTCTTTTTCCTTTGATAGTCATGACAAACCAATAAGAAATGGTAAAACTTTTCAGAAAATTGTTTCTATTAAAAGACTGTTACTGACCGAGTTCTTCAATTTTGCAATTATTGTCTCAAGAATGTTACACTATAGAGCTAGTCTATCATGTGTTTGTTATGTCTGTATTTGTGTTTGATTTATTTGAATCCCTGTTATCGATTCAAGGGACCAAAAAATCGTTATCTCCCAGCTATTATGTAAAGAGAAGATGAGACAGAAATACCTGAATTTTAGAATGAATCAGATTTAGACCTGTGAATATATGTATTGTCGCAAAAGACAGTGATGAATTATAAGTGTTATTCTTAAGTGCTTAACACTTAAAACTAACACTTGTAATTCCAAATGAAAAGATTAGAGGATTAAATTGATTGATGTGACTGAAACTCCACTCATCTATAGCTCATTTGAAGACGGTTTGCATGGAAATTAGATTCAGTATTCAATTACATTTGAAAAGGAGTAGGTTCACGAAGGGTAAAAAATGGCCTTATTCTGTAATTTGATGAAACTTTCTAATATTCATCCAGGATATTCAAGCTGGTTTAATTTCAGTTTTCAAGTCATTTCGTTGAATGGTTTTGTTATAATGAGCATGCAAACATACCTACCAAAATGACCAAAAATAGTCACATTTTACATGATGTTGTGCCAATGTCAGAATAAACAAACATTGAACATTGATAACGCTAGCAAATAATGACGCTACACATTATCTTGTTTCAATAATATATTTCAATATTAATATAATTTCATTTAGGATGTACGTCAGTGATGAAATACACTGTAAAAATTGTTACCTTATCAAAGAAAAAACTAAAAAGGTATACCAAATTCAAAATCATGGAATGTTTCTTCACATGCCATTGTAATATTCTCATTTTGAATAGAATTTATATTCGTAGAAACGAACACTTCTAAGCGGAACATTTTGTCTGTTATGACTGATAAAGTTAGAGATATATTGATAGAAAAAGCTATAATTTGCCTAACCTCGTCAATTGAATGACTGAATTTTTTAGTTTATGCAAACTGGAAATGGCAGGTAAAACGAATAGTATCAATGACCCTCCATTTCTGAGTTTACAAGTTTAAAACTACGTTGAAAGTTTTTCGACTTCTCAGTTACAACATACATCTAGTACAATACAAGATACAGGTTATGCATGCAGATGATAGATAGACATGATATTTGTACATTTTAATAGCAGTTATAAGGACCAGTGTGATTTATCTTGCACTAATGTTGTAGGAAGACTCATAAATTCCTTTTGCCACATTCACATTCTGACAGAAAACCACATTTAACATATCTACATTTTGACGTAAAATTGAACAACAGAAAGCACGTGTACATTATGAAATATTGATGGTCTGCTTTCGTCAACTAGGTCAGTGTATCCATAGAAAAAATATCAATAATAATAATAGTTACAAAATCGAAGTTGCATCATTTATAAAAAATCAATACATTTTCAGCCAGGTGGAATAATACCTTATGAGAAAAGGAAATTGACAATTTCGTGACTCTTTCCCATAACAATCCCATATACTGAGTCATCAGTCTACAGAGGTGTGTATCAATCTGAAATCACCTGAGACAAAATCTCATGATGACCTATTGAAATCACCTTTGTCCTGCATCATGCATCTCTAAAAAAAAAATAACATTCTCAATGTCTTTGCAAAAAAACCAGATTCGATTTCATTGAGAATTTGCATAAACCTTTCCTGGCCTAAGATGAACCAAAAGAGTGAATTGTACAGTCCCCACCCCACAGGAGCCTTAGAGGTGGGGCCAAAAGGGTCAAATTGATTCATATTTCAAAAATCTTCTCAACACCCAGATATAGAATTAAATGCTCTTCATGGATAGAAGCATCTAAAAGGTTCTTTTCCAGAATGGGTCTCACATTTCTTGCTGGGGAGGAGGGTAACTTTGCGATGATTTTTTCCCTCATCACAAATAACTTTATAAGAATTACCAGTATAGGATGACAGTTTTGGTGTTATGTATGTATTGTTACTGGCTTACTATCATCAATGTCACAATCTCTGTTTCATGACACTTGAAAGTGACTCAACCTTTTATCTTTATATTCAATATTGCTTATCTCTGGTGACTGTCAAGGCTGCTGGGCCTCTTCTTAATTTTGTTTAGCAACAAGTTTTGTTTACATTTTATGAAACAATTTATATTGATCACTCTTGTTGACACAATGGGTTGTGAGTGTGCAGTTGGTCTTCTTGTTGGAGAAGATGAGAGATTAAAACTGCTGAAAATCTATATAGACAAGCAGGTTTCTGTGGATTGGGAAATTAAATCGTCTATCTTGGTGAGAGCGCTTTATCATCAAATGCGACAGCCAACATTCCTGCCATAATGTCCCTGATAGCTAGACTACTGTAATTGGTCCAAATTACTTCAATATTTTATGAATTAGCTCTTGTAACCTTTTGTTGTGTCAAATTGTAACAAAAAATATCACAGCTAGACTTTCATCTTTTTATCGCAATTGCTGCTGAATGGAGATATTAATATTGATTTATTTACATGTATAAACATCCGAAAAAGGCATGCTTTACTTTAGTTACTGCAGCTGTACAAATATAAATCGCGTTCATCTGGCAATACCAAATTTATTAAGCATTGTCTAGTGATAAGCCCATCATTTATTGATGTTCATTAGAATTAACATCAAATATTATTTCATTGTGCTGTAAAAAGCCATCCCCCAACCCCAACCCTAAACCCCCCAACCCCTGACTTTGTAACAGAGTTTATTGCGCGATAAATACAAAAATTGAAAACTTGGTCGCATTTTAATACCTTACAGTTCATTTCACTTATGATTTCAGGTTAAGCCCACAAGTATATCTCAAGCGCCCTGCTGATGGCAACACCTGGAGACTGGACATCCTGTTGGAAAGAAAAGCTGTATGTGTGTGTTTTTGTCTGATTAAACATTTTCCGTGGCTTCGTTTGATCATACATCAGTCTGTGTTTAGCGGAGCTCTGATATCGGAAATCAAGGATTCTGGAGTTTTTATGGCATCTTTTGGCTCATTATCCGATTGTTTACTCAATTGGCATTTTAAGACAATTTGCTAATTGATATTCAGGTGATAGAAAGGATAAGATTTCAATTAGTTTACTTTCTATGCAAGATCTGTAGAAATTGTCATAAAGTTTTCATATTTATGGCATCAGACAACACGTAAAATGAAAAACAAAATTTTCTCAGACTTGTTCTGTAAATCTCATCTAAAAATAGAAGCTGATGTAAGATTCTATTTATAGAAATTGTTTTAGAAAAAAAAGGTGAGATTGAAACTGAAGAGACATATACCTGATTCAAGATATTGTTACATATCATTTGTGCTCCTTGATAAATAAAGATTAATTTAACAACAATAGATTAAGTGACATTTTACTAAGATAGATACAGAATACAAGTATAATTGTATTGGAAATCAACAGTTTTTACTTGTTTGTTTCCAGAAACAAGGAGTCAAAATCTTTATCCTGTTATATAAAGAAATGTCAATGGCGGTTAATCTGCAGAGTACCTACAGTAAACGTATACTTATGGGTAAATGTCCAGAAAACATTAAGGTGAGATTTTTGGGTAGTATACCAAATCTCTGTTATTGTTTTTAACTGCTGATAAGCCAATGCATGGTAATTAGCTCATTCATATCCGTTTCTGTCAAACAATTTATAAAATTTCAGCAACAAAAATAGAAAAGAAAAAATTAAGAAAGTGTTATTTCATTATTTGTATAAATTCATTCCTGAATTTTAGTGAGACAAGATAATTATGGTAAATTCACAACTGCTATTTATCACTGTTTTAAGTGAAGGAACAATTATATCACAAACTTGTCTGAATCCAGTAATTACACAAAAAGAAGTTATTGATGTTTAACTAAACTGATTGTTTTTGCTTGTCATGAAATGGTCTTGTTTATCCATTGATCAGGCACACTTTGGTAGGCTTTGTAATTTGATCAGAATCTCTGTCAGTAGTAACTATTGTGATGAATTTTTGTTAAATTTATTTTACTGGTTTGAATAAGGAATTGACACGTTTCAAGGTTGTTCCCTATTTTGAGCTTAATTCTACATGCTGAAGTTCAAAATGAAAGCAGAAGAATTTGTTTCACATGTCAAGGGAGATAACAATGCTTATTGAGATTTATGAAATCTCTTGAAAAACCATAGCATTTATGTCATTCTGTCTTTAATTAGACAAAAATTAGAAATATGTCAGACAAAAATTAGAAATATGTCACTTGGTTCTTCAAGGGAAGAACATCCCTTTGTCCTGATTTCCTTTAACAAGACTGTGTGATGGGAGACATGATGGTCATGTTTTTAATCAGCTTAGCATTATTACATAAATGACTTTGTGATACAATAAAGAACAATAATTATTCTAGGTAATGCGCCACCCTGATCACATTGGAAGTGGCGTCTTACTCTGGGCTCACCATGAAAAGCTGGTTGTTGTCGACCAAAAGATCGCATTTGTCGGTGGAATTGATCTCTGTTATGGACGCTGGGATGATGATCAGCATAAGTATGTACCAGATTAAAGAATTGTTCGCCTCATGGTTAAAAGTTTTGTGACAGAGAAAGAGTAATCACGATGAACAGAGTTAAGATATCTGACGATTTAAAAGGGAATGTGGAGATACATGTTAGTGCTGCACTGAAAATTAAATCAGAAATTTTTTTTCAGTGGTTAAACAGAAAAGAAAAAAGATTTTCCCATGTAATATTAAAGATGGAATTCATTCAGATTCTTTTAAATAATTTGTCCAAGAAATCATAATAAAATATACACATAAATGTTATTTTATTTCAGACTGACTGACCTTGGCTGTATTGTCTATGAATCAAACAATCAGAAATCACAAAAGGAGACAAAGGTATGACAAACTATTTCTTCATAATAATTTTTTGTTAGATAAAATCAAACTTAAAAATTATTTAATTCTTTTCATAAAAGATATTTTCTGAGGCTTAAAAAGTCTTTAATATTCATCAATTATTTTTTAAAAATTTTTTTTTCAATTATTTTTTTTTGAGAAGAATATTTTTCAGAAATAGATGAGTCAGGTCACAATATGTTATGGAGATAAATTATCTGTCAAAGATGTGGAAGTTAGGGTTAGGATTGAAGTATCATGAAGAGGCTTTGCAATGTTAAAAAGACTGAAACAAAATTTCATTTGTAAAAAGAGAGAAAATGCTGTTTACTGAAGATGATGACTGTGTTATAAGATAAACCATTGAAATATTTTCTGTTGTTACAGGTAAAGTTTCAATCTCAAGAAAATGGGAATGAGGAAGACATTTTGAATCAGTCAGGAATTTCACTAAAAATTAGTCCTCCAAGTCCAGTCATATCTCCTACCCAAGAGGAAGCACCAATCATTCCACCACAAGGGGGCAGCACTGATCATGAACAGGAAGTGAATAAACCAGAAGTTACTCCAGTAAACAAAGAGGTAGAGAAAACAGATACAGATGATGGAAATGATTCAGAGGAGTGTAGCTGTCACAAATGTCGAACTTCTGAAAATCGTCATAGTTATTCAAACTCTTCTATGGATGAGGAAGAATATTCATCTTTGTTGAAATCTGAGAAAAAGATTGATACAAATAAGGAAACTTCAAACTCAGACAATCAGGAGGTGATCAAGGCCTTAATACATCACGATAGCCAAGGGTCAAAGCCACTTAATGAAGGGTCAGCGGTCAATGAAACCATTGATCCAGCAGGTGCTGTGAAGAATGGAAAAGTTGATGTGTTGTCTGCTCAGCAGGAAGAAGAGGAGCAGGTAGAGAAAGGAAAGTCAACAGACCGTATCAAATTAATGTCTAAGAAAAACAAGGACAGTGAAAAATGTGACCAAAGTAAAAAAGTGAACTTTTGTGAAGGGAATGCTGTGAAAAATGATAATGTTAGTGGTGCTGGCACTGCAAGTCCTCCCAAACGTCATCTTTGGAATTTTGGTGGTAAGAGGTCTTCTGGTCTTAAAACAAGTAAAAATTTGGAATTCTCAGGTGATGCTGTTGATAAATTAACAGATGTACAACTAGAGGACAAGAATGTGGAATTGAAAAGTTACAAACGAACAACTTCTTCAGGTAAGTATGTTGTGGATGAGAATGGTGACTCTCATCTGATCCAGGAAGAAGATGAAACGGCAACAATGAGACAAAACAATGAATCTCAGGGAGGAGGTACAACAGACAGCAGAGGTAGGGATAGTTGGGCAATCAGAAAACTGCGACGATCTTTGCACAGACACCGAGAACAAAACAACAACGATGGTGATCAGACAGACTCGGGTGAGGACAGCGATCATTTAATGCGAAAATGGAAACTTGTTCTGAATATACAAAAATTTGAGTCAGCTGTTCGACGGCCACAAGAAAAAACACCTCTAGAAGATAGATCGCCTCATTCACCGGCTCGGCTAAGAGATAAAATTGTGAGTGAATTTGTATATTACTAAGAAATCTTTTACTTTGTATTATAAGAATAACCAAATAATTTTTGTGGCTTCTGATGTTCGCAGTTTAGATCTCACTACTTGTTTGCAGCTATTTATTTTCTTGAATCAGATATTTGTATTTGAAATAATGTTGTTTAGTATCCCTGCATTAATTTGCACTGATTAACTCATTGTTTTGAAAAGACAAAAGAAAACTGGTTTCCTTTATTTGAGTGTGTATGTACATTTACACTTAGATTTAGCTGTTCATCGAAATCTTCCTGAAGGAGATATTTGTAGTTCTGATAGTTATTTATCAATGTATTTAGAATTTTTCAGGAAATAACATGATTTCATATATGAATTTATTCCAGATTACACAATATCGATGGTGATACTTCTAACCTGAATCTAATGATAAATATGATGAGTCAGCATATACGGGTACCTGAGTTAGCATATACTGTTACCTGAGTTAGCATATACTGTTACCTGAGTTAGCATATACTGTTACCTGAGTTAGCATATACTGGTACCTGAGTTAGCATATACTGTTACCTGAGTTAGCATATACTGTTGCCTGAGTTAGCATATACTGTTACCTGAGTTAGCATATACTGTTACCTGAGTTAGCATATACTGTTACCTTGAAGAAAGCAAATGACTGACATATTCGAATGTATATTTTTTGTTTTATTTCACAGAGAAACAATTTACAAGAACGGTTCAAAAGCCATCACCATCGTGACAGTCTCACAAGTTTGGATGAAATGTACACCACAGATGAGTATGTTTATTCTTTCATGAATCTTGATAAAAAAATTGTGAACAAGTTTGTGAAAGAAAACTTGTAGCTACCCTTTACTAGCAATATACATTATATTATATAGTAATGTTACAGGAAATCAAACTAGTGTTCAGAGTTCAGGCTCAGGAAGTCAACAACTAAGTCTGTTATTATAGCTAGTGTCTTAAAGTGATCTTTTTGTTGAAATGATCCCTTTATTCTTGAAAGCGTTGATTACTTAATTGACAGAGGTGGTGGCTTTATAGGGTTGGTCACTGGACAGTGGTGGTGGCTTTAAGGGTTGGTCACTTGACGAGTTGGTGGCTTTATAGGGTTGGTCACTTGACAGAGGTGGTGGCTTTAAGGGTTGGTCACTTGACAGAGGTGGTGGCTTTAAGGGTTGGTCACTTGACAGAGGTGGTGGCTTTAAGGGTTGGTCACTTGACAGAGGCGGTGGCTTTATAGGGTTGGTCACTGGACAGTGGTGGTGGCTTTAAGGGTTGGTCACTTGACGAGTTGGTGGCTTTATAGGGTTGGTCACTTGACAGAGGTGGTGGCTTTAAGGGTTGGTCACTTGACAGAGGTGGTGGCTTTAAGGGTTGGTCACTTGACAGAGGTGGTGGCTTTAAGGGTTGGTCACTTGACAGAGGCGGTGGCTTTATAGGGTTGGTCACTTGACAGAGGTGGTGGCTTTATAGGGTTGGTCACTTGACAGAGGTTATCGTCTTTATGTATAGAGTTGGTCATTTGACAGAGGTAGTCTCTTGATAGAGATGGTCCCTTTATGGGATTGGCCACTACACAGGTGGTCCCTTTATAGGATTGGTCATGTGACAGAGGTGGTCCCTTAATAGGATTGGTCACATGACAGAGGTGGTCCCTTTATAGAGTTTGTCACTTGACAGAGGGTGTCCCTTTATAGAGTTTGGTCACTTGACGATGGCCTCTTTATGGGATAGGTCACTTGACAGAGGCTGTCTATGGATAGCAGCAATTTCTTGATATGATGGTGTGTTACTGAAAGTTTATTGATGGTTTGGGTCTCTTAACAAACAGTGTCATGATACAGATGATCTTGCAAACTCTTTTCCTGAATTCTCTGTCCTTTTATTTCAACAAATTATAAACATTTATGGAAAGAAAAGTCTCTACTGCAAAGAATTTTATTATGTTGTCAAGGTTACAGACAGACACATAGGCAGTAACCAGACAGGATAAAACGTTATGTTAGTTATTTTACAAATCTCACACAAAATGGAGATCCACTGTATAACTAATTAATACAAAACTTTAGAACTTACATTCAGACTGATATGATTGTAATGCTTATGGTGTTATTCTTAAAACTTAAAGGTTAAAACCTAGTGAGCTTAAACGCACCAGCAGTGAAATCAACATTGATGAGCTTGGCTTAAAGAGATCATCCAAGCGCTGGATTGGCAAAGACTATGTCAACTTTATATTCAAGGATTTTCAGAACCTGGAAAAACCCTTTGAAGGTAATTTAATGTTGAGGACAATGGACAATATTTTTCTACCCAAATATTAGATCAGCCTCACAGTGTCTGCAGAGATGGGAAAATATATACAGTAATGAAGTTTCAGTTTTTCAATTTTTTTTCTTTGTTTTTGTTTTTTTTTTGGCTGTAAAAAAAAATGAATAAATGAATAACCACACTGTTGTGCTGGTTGTCTTATAAGCAGCATTGGCCTATTTTTTTGATAAATACTGACTTTGGAAATAATAACAAAAATCATTTGGTCTTGTTTCTAATATCATTGGTATTGTATCAAGTGGAGAATTCAGGACAAGTCCCTTCCTATCAGGAGAGTATGGTAGCACAGTAGCCTATTACTGCTGATTAAGTATCAATTCCTCACGTAAACAGACTGAAAAACCATGGCCTCTTTTGCAGTTTGGTGCAATTAGTAAATTAAGAATTTTATAATTTCGTTATTTTTAGATCACAGAAACTGTGTGCAGTAATCAAAGGAATTATGAAGTACCAATATGAAAATATTTTGAAGGTAATTGATTAAAAAAGGTAACATGTTGTTATGACATTTCTGGTTAGTGGTTTGTGTTGTTTCAGATTTCATCGATAGATCTGCCACTCCCAGAATGCCCTGGCATGATATAGCATCGGTAGTATACGGAAAGGCCGCAAGGGATGTAGCGAGGCATTTTATTGGACGTTGGAATTTCACAAAGGTATTTTTTTTTTGATTATCAAATATAATCAATCGTTAAATAAGGATCATTTAGAACTCTTAAATTGTTTGATCTCTTGAAAGGGTACACCGCTTATGTTCTTGTCCTAGTATTTGTTTTCCAATCCTCATTGCTTATTCATGTCTATATATATATACTGCTATGTATTGAATAATTCCAGGTGGAGAAAGCGAAAAACAACCATGATTATCCTCTGCTTCTGCCTAAAGCTTACGGGCAGAACTACAGGATCCCACAACTTGTCCTTGACCTTTGCGATGAGGTCAAAACACAGGTAAGGTACACCTGACCTCTGACCAATACACCTGAGATGCAAATATTGTACCTTGAAAACTAGATTGTGGATTGTATATCTATCAAAATGAGTTAAAAATAGGTTTAATGGTAACTTTGGAATGGTGTGTATCGTAGAGAGCAGCATCTTAGTTTAAAGTACATCAGGTCAAAAGTTAGTCATTGCTGGACCGAGGTAAACAATCACGTGAGTGACAGGTAGTGATGCACGCCTGATAACGGGTGGGGTGTGTACCCCAGTGTTGAAGCACCGTGGCAGAATATAGCCAGTATGATTGATCAGGACAGATAGATGCTCTCTTTTGTGTGTCTCGTGGTGGCGAACATATATGTAAGTAAACAAGATCAGAAACAATGTACAAGGTAGATCAAAGATGGGAAGTTGATAACGGGTATTCCTAGTCACATGTATATGCACAATGATCGTGATGGTAGTTGTAAAACAGGAGTATAGGGGATATTAGGTATTGTGAAAGAGTCCGAGGGAGAGTTGAATCCGGGACACTGAGCAGAGAGGAGAGCTGGGCAATGTACGGTCCAAGTCAGAGAGCAGGGAAACATCTTGGATGGTTATATATTATGACTTTTGATAAACAATGAACAACCAGCTTAGTGTTAACGCAGAGGCCTCATCAGGACAAATTTGTACATCTGTACCAGTGGATCTGTGAATGGTGTTGACATGTCTCTGTAGATTTCCCATTGATAAGTAGAATTTACTACAAAGTATGCAAAATGTTAAAATGTTAACACTCCATTTATTATCCTGTTTTGTTTGTAATTACATGATGATAATGTATTGTTATATTCACCAATAGATTCTCAGAAGTGGGTGTGCATGGTCATGTGGTGTTAGGGCGACGGAAAATTCTATCCATGAGGCATATGTGAGCTGTATACAGAATGCTAAGCATTATGTATACATAGAGGTGAGTTTGTACTTCACCAAAAAATATTTACAGTTTTTTGTAATTGGCCATTAAAACATGGAAATTGATCTTAAAGGTTGAATAATAAAAATAAAGTTATGATGAAGTATAAATCTATTGCTAGTGGTGAAAGATTTAGTTGTAATTAATTTCATTTGAAATGTTATGTACCCTTTAGGAAACCGTAAACAAAGATTAAAATCTATGTAATTTTGTTTGTTTTCAGAACCAATTTTTCATTAGCTTGATAGGAGAGAACGCCACAGTGAAGAATAAGATATCTGATACACTCTTCAAGAGGATAGTTAAAGCTCACAAGTAGGTGAAATAGTGTGATACTTAGTGTAACATCTGATGGCTTATCAAAGGACGGGGCAGGTACAGGGGCTTCAGAAATCTTCATAGCTGTTGGGTTCTCTAAACATATTTTTGAGATGGCAAGAAAAGCCGACAGGGCCTCCTTTTTCTGTGGGGAAGGAGAGGTTTGAACTGTCTCAGTAATGGATCTGGATCTCAACTCTGTTGCAAGAATCTTGACACTGAACACTGATGATATTAATACTCAATATTACAAATAATGCATTTCTTCAATAGGTGATGCGTTACTGTAAGAAAACTTCAATAGAATATTTGCTCCCGATCATTTCTCAATATATTAACACAATAATAAATTCACACATTCCCAATGATTTCTTTATACATTGTATATAGCATAAAGAAAGTGCAGGTAGTGCAATCACATTTTACTGCAATATTCGCAGCATGAAAAGACTAAGATAAGATTACCACAAAATATTTATGTTTATGAGAAAATATTTCAGTGATTTACATGTATTTATGAGTGATGAATATAATTGAACAGAATTATTTTCAACCATTTTAATACAAACTAATTAAAAATCAAGAAAAGAAAAATGTGTGATAAAGATGATAATATGGTATTATTAAAGTTGATAACATAATGTTACACTTTTGTAGAGAGCAGACAACTTTCCGTGTTTATGTTGTGATGCCATTACTTCCGGCGTTTGAGGGAAACATTGCAGATTCTGGAGGTTATGCGATCAAGGCCATTACACATTGGAACTACCTCTCTATCGCCAAGGGACCTAACTCTATCTGGCAAAGACTAGTCAAAGAAGGTATGCTTTTTTGTGATAATGATTAAGGACACTCCGAACATGTAAATTAGCACTTATTAATTAGATAATACCTTGATAAGATATGCAGCATTTATTTAGCAGATGCTAAGTGCATGCTTTTTTTTTTTTTTTAACTTCATCTGCATATAAGTTAACATTTTCTGGGTATGAATGCAGCAGATAGAAAACATTGATTTGATTGGTTGATTTAGTGATTGTTTAATAGAATTCGGTATTGGAATATGAGGGTTGCTTTGGTAAGATTAAGGTAGACGAAGCCATACAGATTTTCATAATAGAACAGGTCCATATTATATAGTGTGTATCTTCAAAATTTTAAGAAAGAAAATGTTCACACAGATCTATTAAGACCGAGGCTGGCTTAGAGACCTAAGTTATTTCTGTCCAGTTTGATAAATTTGTGTTGGTTGATACAATATGTCTCTGTGTATTTATGTATTTAGGAAAGTGTTTTTCTCTTTCAGTGATTGACCCACTGAAGTATATTGTATTCTGCGGGCTACGGACACATGATGTGTTGAGTGAAAAACTCGTAAGATATCAACTTTTACTTTAAATCACAGAATTGTAGTTTTTTATTAGCCCAACATCTATCTAATAGATGGTGGGTTATTCAAATCGCCCTGCGTCCGTGGTCTGTCATCCGTCCGTCCGTCCGTAAACAATTCTTGTTACCGCTATTTCTGGAAAAGTACTGGATGGATCTTTCTCAAATTTCATACACAGGTTCCCCTTGGTCCCTAGTTGTGCATTGTACCTTTTTTGAACTGATTCGCATTCAAGATGGCCGACAGGTGGCCATCTTGGATTTTGGAAGTAAAAGTTTGTTACCGCTATTTCTGGAAAAGTACTGGATGGATCTTTCTCAAATTTCATATGCAGTTTCCCCTTGGTCCCTAGTTGTGCATTGTACCTTTTTTGGACTGATTCAAATTCAAGATGGCAGACAGGCAGCCATCTTGGATTTTGAATGTAAAAGTTTGTTACTGTTATTTCTTGGAAAGTACTGGATGGATCTTTCTCAAATTTCATATGCAGTTTCCCCTTGGTCCCTAGTTGTGCATTGTACCTTTTTTGGACTGATTCAAATTCAAGATGGCAGACAGGCAGCCATCTTGGATTTTGGAAGTAAAAGTTTGTTACTGCTATTTCTTGGAAAGTACTGGATGGATCTTTCTCAAATTTCATATGCAGGTTCCCTTTGGTTCCAAGTTGTGCATTATACCTTTTTGGAGTGATCCGAAATCAAGATGGCTGAGAGGCAGCCATCTTGGATTTTGAGAGTAAAATCTTGTTACTGCTATATCTGAGGAAGTACTGGATGGATCCTTCTGATATTTCTTAGATATTGGTTTCCCTTGGTCCCTAGTTGTGCATTGTACCTTTTTTGGACTGATTTGAAATCAAGGTGGCCCACAGGCAGCCATCTTGGATGTTGACAGTAATACAGCACAAACATATTGTCCATTATCCACCTGTAACTGACTGCTATCTAATAATACTTTGGGATCTTTTTCAAATGATATTTGCTAACAGGTGCTGAATAAAAATATCTTGTGCCATCATTGAGTACATTCAATGAAGACCAGTTCATGAACATTTACAACACCTGTAACAAACAAAAAAAAATAAACAAATCTTCAAGAACTGAAAACAGATCCTCAAATGGTGGGCGCCAAGATCCCTCTGGGATCTCTTGTTATCAATATTGTACATTAAATCAAATATGTCAATGTAAAATTATGTAAACAAGTACAAGATTAAGGATGTCTGAGATGAGATGACTATTTAGAGTTCAAAGTTCATAGCTATTTATAGGAATTTTCCCATCTATTAAATGACATCAAAGGAACAGCTATGTTTCTTGATAAAATGTGATGAAAATTCTTATACGTTGTACAGTAGAAGCATGTATAAGCATACCTCAAATGAGATTGGATCTATGTCTCTGAACCCCAAGATCTAGGCCACTGTTCTTTTATTAGCAGTTTCATACAATAATACTTAGGTAGATAGACATGAAAGCACTGTTGACATATCTCAGGCATTTTCTGATTCATACAAAAGAATGCATTGTGGTCAACTTCTGAAGTAGTGTAGAGGATTTACAGTTAGCCTTTCACCAATTCCATTGGAGTTCAATCCAATGGATCAGATATGAAAGGTTATGGAAATTCTAAGTTACTGGTCCAATCGTGGGGATCGTGTAGGTCCTGTTAGATCTATCTACCACATTTATCCTCCTGAGGTAAGAATAGTGTTATAAGTTTATGGTTTTTCTTTGTTCTGTAGGTGACTGAGCTAGTATATGTACACAGCAAATTGATGATAGTTGATGATGACACTGTAATTATTGGATCCGCCAACATCAATGACCGAAGCATGTCAGGGGAGAGAGATAGTGAAGTCGCCATTCTTGTAGAGGACATTCACAAAACTGACGTCAATTTCAATGGACGTGTTCATCGTGTTGGCAAATTTGCTTCCTCACTACGCAAGAAAATTTTCAGGTATAAAAATATTTCACCTTGGTCATGACTTTTGTATTTCATGCTGTACCTGTTCTTATGAGTCATATTTTTACTATTAATGAGGACTGGATAAAATATTATACTTGAGATAGAAATTAATTGTTCATTTCTTGACTTCTGCCAAATACGTATCTCATTTGTTTCAAGTGGGTCGGCCCTGTCATGTATCCTGTATTTTTAATTTTGACTAAGCTGTTGCAGGTTTTTGTCTTTGTGTATTTAGGGAAGTGTGAAATCTTCTGTGAAGGATTTTCCACTCTCTGTACTCTTTGTAACTGAGAATTTATGTTGTTTTAGTGCTGCATTGATGTGGTTAGGTAGTGCTGTAGGATTAACCCTCCAAACTCTAGCTGTAAGAGACAATACTCCATGTTTACTATGTTTAAGTTGTGATTGTGTGATTTTGATGGTTGTTATTACATTATTTTGTAATGATGTGTGTTTGATAGTGAACACCTGGGTATACCTCGAGGGGACCCCTTGCTTGATGACCCAGTGTGTGACAAGTTCTATAAAAGCACATGGATACAGCAAGCCACCGTCAACACTACTATGTTCCAAAAGGTACAGGATAGGCAATAGAATGTTGTCCTTTCTGAAAAAGAGATCTCTGAATTGGTGGTTTTTATTGCTTATGACTTATTTCATATTTGGCTGAAAAAAGTAATCGAGGTGAATTCAACACATTTTTGCTCAAACAAGATAAAAAATAAACCCCTCCTCAAAGTGCAAGAGTGCATTGTATGTAATATAGCATATTCTTGATGCTGCATAAGAGAAAATTGATTTTGTTACTATTGGAAATTACTAAGATCGTGAAATGAAAGTCTATTTATAGGCTGTTATCCCTCACTTCCAGGTTTTTAACTGCTTCCCGGACGACAGGATCCTGTCATATGCAGAGTTTGAAGAATACCAGAAGCAGACAGTCCTTGCGGAATCTGATCCACAGGAAGCAAATAAATTATTGTCTAAGGTTAAAGGTTATGTTGTCTTGGTGCCATTAAACTTTTTGAAAAATGAGAATTCTATCGTTCCAGTTGGAAGGGAATCATTGCTGCCTAATTCTGTTTGGGTATGAATGCTGACAATGGATTATATGGTCACTTGTGTGTAAAAAAAATGAATTTGTTGTGAAAACTGGCAAATAAATGGATGAGATTTGTGGAATATTTGAGAAAAAACTGAATGATTCAGGGATATTTGTATGTTTTCACCATTTAATGGTGGTTATTAAGGTGATCATCAGTTAAGGTGAAAGGCTCAATGTTCAAATTACATACAGAAATGAGTGCATACATGTCTTAGTCTTACAGATTGAGGGGAGGTGTAAGCAGATTGAGGATTATATTCATGGGCATATGAATGCCAACTGAAATACTTATTGTATGTTGCTTGCTTTGCAAATAAAAGCAACAGGTGATTGATTTGCAATCAATATTAGTAAAATGCTGTTTGCTAGGGTCATTTCAACCTGCTCAAATTTCACTATTCAATATTTCAATATTCCCAATGTAATCTTATAGCAAAAATAGCGAAAAATCCTAAATTACAAAAAAGATTTAAAAAATAAATGACTATGTGATAGACCAAAACATCAACGTCAATGCTCAAATCCAGTCTGATTAATTTGGATCTCTGATTACTCTTTTCTAAAATTTGCTCTAATGTAACTCTCAATAGCAGTTTAATGCCATGTATCAATAACTGCCGCTCTGAGGACCAAATGATCATGTAGGATTATATATTTTTTAATTTTTCTTCTTTCAGATGTTCTAAATCATTCCATTTAGTCATTATATATGTTATTTTTACCCTTTTATATTTTAATGTTTATTGAATTTTTTCCGATACCAAAATGTGTTACATTTTTGAAAATAAAATTAGCAGTAGAATTATGTTTTTTGACAATGTCTCTGTATTGTTTTGCTCTGTGAATAAATTTTCTGTTTTAAGTCTTCTTGACAACCTTGAAAAGGTTAGAATACCTGTATTACAAATTTATATATATGTAAATAACAACTGCAGAAGAAGTTGGTCGCATCAAATCTTGGGGTATGAATGATTGGTCTTTCCTATTTACTATAGGGAGGAAATCAGAGACCCTGGAGAAACTTATGTAGTTGTATAGAATATCTATTATCCTGTTACATATTTGATCCCTAGTCATCTTGTTTTAAGGAGAATGTGATGTCTGCTGCATTAGCCAACCACCTTATAGCACTTTGGGCATAGTCCAAGGTTTGTAATGACATGAAATGTCATGCTTCTTATTTAATAATCAAGAAAAATCAATAGACCAGTTAATATCTGTTTCAGAGAATGGGTTATAAATGTACAAAGCATTACAAAGGCGTCTGATTATACACATATAGACACAAAACTAATTAACATATGACTCTAACTAACTCATTGATGGAACAGAAGTGCCTTTTTGATGTATACCAAAATGTGTTCAGCTGAGATCATCAATTTAGTCTTCACATCTGCTAGAGCCACAGAAATCATTATTTCTTCTTAACATTATGCTATGTCACCTTAGAAAATTTTTGCAAATTATTGTAAAATCATTCATTTTCATATTTTCATACGAGTTTTTACTTCATTGATTTCTTGAGTACTAATTAAATTGATTTTTCCACAAAAAGGTAGACAGGAATACACATTATTTCAGCATTACTTGATTATGTGAACACCATTTATCCGTAAAATCAAATTGTAGCAAAAATGCATTTTTATGGAAAACCACAAATTAAGGAGCCCGAGGGAAATCTATGATTTTACAAAATTACAAAGCAAAATTACATTATTCAATCTGTCAAAAATAGAACTGGCAAGGGTAGCACAGAGCTATTCCACCTTATTGTGCTGCTCTTATGACAGATTCACGTGTTCAAAAGTATGGAAGACCGCTATTCGGAAAAGCACCCAAAGGGATTCATTTATTTATATTTTGAAAAAAAGTTTGTAAAGAAAAATCATGAAATTTAAATGTCAGAATCAATATTGAAGTGAAGCCTTATATATATAAATCTAACTACAGTGGAAACCGCATAATATCATTTCAATTTCTCAAGGAAAAATGTGATAATATGCAGAATGTGACATTAACAGTTGATGTGTGGCTCTTAATGCAAGAATCCATCGTTCTTGTTTACTCATGTGTGTGTGTTTTTTTTTTTTTTTTGATAGTTTTCAAAGTGAAGTGATATCAAGCATTTCCCACATGAGAATAAGTGACATCATCAGATATTTGATTACATAGAATATCGAGGGAAAAAATTTGTGTTTCGAGAAATTATGATATCAACTGGAAAGTGTTATTAACCAAGTGGTTTCCATTGTTCTTTTAAAATTTTGAGTTAGAAACATGATCTCATTACATCACCATATATATACACAGCATAACAATGAATGTATTAATTCAATTATATAAAATATTTCCTGGTATAAGTATTGATATTAATACAATTATATTATTTGCTCAACATGAATGTGTAAACACTGATCTACATCTAATAGTTGTTAGAACAATATTGATAGCCTAACACTGTAAGTATATATATAGCATTGTATACAATAAAAATTGTTTGATTTTCATGAAATCAACAATTTTTGTAGCAATCATCTGATGGCTTCAGTAAGCTCGGTGTTATTAGCAAAATTAATTTATGTTTACTTTGTATAACACAGTTTTCATAACATTATTTCTATTGGTTAATCTTGATGTGTCAGACAATTCTAATTGCATAAGTGTTTTATCTGTGGTGTGGCAGACAATGCTGATTGGATAACAAGTGCATCTGTGTTTCAGACAATGTTGTTTGGATAACAAGCGTATCCTCTGCATTTTAGACAATGCTGATTGGATAACTAATTATCTTCAGTATGTCAGATGCCTCTAATTGGACTATCAGTTTATCTGTGTGTTTGAAAATCATTGCCATAATAACGAAGTGATAAATAATATTTGTTAATGATTATTTATGTTATCCTAATTCTGATTGGTCAAGTGATCCATCCTATTGACATGTACAAAATATCAGGCATAATATACAATACTAATTTATGATTCTTAAAATGCAGAATTTTTTTAATTTTTCATAATGAAGATGTCAGTTTTGGATAAAGTTTCTTGTTACCTTCCCCACTTGCTTGGAGAGAAAATGAGTGACAACGAGATTAAGAGTATTTGACAGCCATAGTCAGCCATAGTATCTACAATATTGCCATATCTAGAGCATTTGACAGCCTGATTGGCTATGATATCAAGAGCATTGGACTACCATAGTTCGCCACAATATCTAAGAACATTTATCCCTTATAAAATTGCCATGTCTAGAGTGTTTGGCAGCCATATTTTTGTCACATCTAGAGAATCTGTCAGCCATAGCCAGCCATAAGACCTAGAATATTTGATGTTCTCGCTTTAAGATTTAGGAACCTTGTATAACATGTACAGATGCTTGTAATTTAAATGTTATTGCTTTGTTAGATCATCATGAAGTTAATTTGTTTTCTTTTGATATTCTCTTATTATATACATTTACAGTCATAACTCTCTGTTTTTAAAATCATGATAATTTCATTTGCTCAAATACTATTGATCATTAACATTCCACGATTTTCTATGTCTGATTTTGATGCAGTGTGTCGACGTTGATGTGTTAATGTTAAGTGGCGTCACTTAGAACCAAATTGTTATAGTGTATTTTCATATTGATTTATAATTTCTTTATATTTGGTATCAGGTGTAACAGGACTGTTTCTGATGAATGTGAGGCGTATTTTTAAGCGTCTTTATATAAATCATATTGATATAATTACAATCGTCTTTAAGATGACCTGATGATTTGTGCAATTAATATTTCTTTGTTTCTGTTTATTTTCTTAGAGATTATTAATTAAATAAACTTGTTGATTAGCTTTTAAACAATTCAAATTCAATATCAAGCTAGGTTCTCTTCATCATATGTTATCAACACATTTCATTAAATCTTATTTTTGTCCCAAACAGATCTATAGATATAATCTTGTCTCCCTACAAAAGGGGAGATAAATCTGCTCAATATTTTTTCTTTCAAACAAATTATTGATTGTGTACCATATATCCTATGATGTTAACCAAATATTTATAGTTAGAGTCAATTCCTTTTCCTATTGAATGTTACAATCTAAAATATTTTTAAGTCTTGTTAAATTTGTTTGCTTTATTTATTCATCTTCCTTAAAGACAAGTGAGATTTAATCTTGGTGTCATCTGTCAGGACCTCATTTAAAAGACTTCCAATTTAGAAAGACTCTGTGGATTTGTACCAGATACATTGTGTTATCCATTATGGAACATCAAAATTGCCTTAGATCTTGTTTCAAAATTTATAAACAATTTGTCAAAAGCACACAAGTTGTAGGAGCAGAAAAGTGATATAAATGTACTTGATATTGACAAAGATGATTTCTTTGAGATGAGTAAATGAGACCATCAGCTGTACTGGATGACTCCGAGACTAAATCACATCTTACCTGAAGTTTTTGTAAATAGAAGACAAACTGTGATACTAGAAATTTTGGCTGGCATTTTATATTTCCATTTCACAAAGTATTCCATTCTGCATGTTTACAATGTGTCAAATTACTAATGACTGGTACACTAATTAATTTTCTAATTATAATTATACGTAGTATACATATCATTATTACATCGTTAAGTTATAATAAATGCTTGAAGTATAGTTTTAAGTGGCTTGGAGTTCTTTGTGTGAAAAAAGAGACAAAATATCCCAAACCTTTCAAGAGGTAAAAACTGGAAGACAGGAGATCTGCAATTTGAAATCTTAAAAACTGGAGATCATTAGTATTAGTTACCTAATTCATATTTGTGTCTGAATTACTTATTACCTCATTAACTGTAATTAACTATATTTAACAATTTTAACTCATTAGTTATTGTGTTAACACTAGAGATTATCAAATTTACTCAATGAACTGGAGACCAAAACTGGAGATTGGACTGTTAGGAATAAATTATCCTCTTCAATGGGTTGACTGGAAAGAAGGCTTAAATGTGTTAATTATCAAACTTTATAAAGATCTTCGATT